GTGCCTCTAGATGGCATGAACGTAGGCCTTCTGGGGCGGGGAGGAACGGCGGGCCTGGAGGCTTTGGAGTTATCGGGGGCTTGGACGACGTCCGTACAGCAAGGCGATTCCCTTCAGGCCGCCGCAGCCGCCGAGCCACACCTCACTGTCAACATAGGCAACAACATCCCAGGGCCCGCAGCTAGGCTCCCACTGGGCTCGGGCGGCTTCAGGACGAGCGGGCCGTGTGGAAAGAGGGCCCACTCGGCCAGCGGTGGCGGGGGTAGCGGCGATACGGACGTCGAAGTGGGGGCGCTGCAGGCCAAGAACCCGAGCAGGACGCGGGTGGCCGTCGGAACTGATAGCCCCCCAAAGGGACAGTAGGGATTAGGAGCTTAGGAGTCGCAGCTGCAGCAGCAGCAGCAGCTGCAGTATCAGCCTAGCAGCAGCTGCTGCAACTGCAGCTGTGTGCAACTCCAGCTGTGTGCAACTCGACCTAATTAAAAAAAACGGGAAAAAGAGGGAAAAGCCGTTGTTGGTTGGGTGAAACGCGGCCCATGTTCTCGATGCACAGATCCATCTGTGGGTATCTGGCTGCGTAGGTGCTGGATTACGATTTAAATTTTGGACTGGATTTGACTCTGGATCTGGAACCTGGCTTCAAATGGATCCGGTACGGGGCTTCGGATAGCACATTATGCGTTGCAAAGCGATGTGATGTGACACAGGCGGCGAACAACCTGCGGTACACAAAATGAGTAGCATAACAGGCGCCCAGGGCGCAGCTACAATTCGTTCATCTTTTTTCCTGTGTTGTGTTGTGCACGTGCACGCATACGTCGTCATACGGCGACGTGCATGTGCTCTGAATGCAGTGGTGGTTTATTCACGGATACGGCAACGAAAAGCAAACCGCACGAATGCTGGCGTTCTCCGTACGGCACTTTTCCCTATGCATATGTGCACGTAATTGTCCGCGTTTGCGTTTACACCTTGCTTTTCTTTGCGCTTATGTTTGCTTGTGTTTGCATGTATGTGTGTGTATATGTGCGTATAAATGTCACGAACCCGATTCGCGTGAATAGGTGTTGTGCTGGTCTGCAAGTCTCCAGTGGAATTATAGTTTTACTTTGAAGCCCGTTTAGGCAATTTTAAGGCCCGTAAGAAGAGCTGCTGCTGCTGTTGCTGCTGCTGCGGGACATGTGGATGCGTGAGTGGGTTATTTTTTAAGGGATTTAAGGGTTTTGTGTACATGTCACTGAAGTCACAGCTACTGGGCGATATCAGCACTTTCCTTTGCGCACAAGCTCCGTTGCTAACAACATGACAGTATGACGATGTTATGACGATATAACAATATGAATCCCTCACGTCTGTGCGAACCCGGCTTCCGTGGTTCTATATTTCTGCGGCACTGTTTATGCATGTAGCTGCATTTTGCACAATTCGCGTATGTTCCTTATCTGTTTAATTTAAAAAAGATGATGAAAATCGGCATCGTCAAACCAACATGTCGACGGTGGTGTGTCTAGGGGGTGGGGTAGGCTGGGGGAAGGGGAAGGGGGCCTCGCCATCATTCATCCCCGGCGGGTCCCCAGCCTCCCGGGCTGAAGGACCGCGGAGGAAGGGCAGACCGCGGATAACGAAAACCCTAAGTACTTTATATTTGACGTTTTGTCCTGCGAATTCAGATATGTTTGGATGGAGCAGATGTTTGGATGGCGCAGAGCCGCGGCCTCTCAATTTGCTGCAGAGGGAGCAAAGTTCATAAAGGGGTTACTATGAGGTTCGGTCATGTCGGGGGTTTGGTCGCTGACGACGCAGTTCCCATGCGGGACCAGAGCCGCAGCGCATAAGCGCGCAAAAAACTGTTACACTGGTACGACAAGTACGGCAGTGCTTGCCGCACTTGGAAAAGAAGACATGGATCTAAAACCTTTTTAACGTTCTGGTTTTCCCCTCAAGCTAAGGACACAGTAGGAGTAGGAAGAGGGTTTTGTTTTGTGTATGCATGCTGTGTGTAGACGAATGAATGATGCGATGGACTGATGTAGTTTCGGAGGATGGGGGTTTCGGAGATGATTTGCGCGTGCCGCGTGTGGCCTTTCGTTGCCTCTGCGCTATCGAATTTATTTACATCGTACGGCAGACAAGTATGTACTGCTGGAATGTTAAAGTTGGTATGCTGCTGCACTCGTCTCCGTTAATTCTGTTACCAGCAGTCTGTTACTCCATCTCCCGTTGCTGCCTGGATCCATGCATCGCGGCAGGTGGGCGGCACAATACGTGTTTTGCCGTGGGTGGGTGGCCGTAGAATGCTGGGCCGTAGAAAACTTTGTTCTGCTAGGGACCGGGTACCAGATTGGTCTTTTCTATTGAGTCCTGTTGGTGCTGTTTTCCGGCTGGTGGGTGGCTCCGAAGCTTTTGAAGCTCCGAAGCTTTCAAAGCTGCTAGGCTGACATCCCTCTGCATGCGACCAACTGGACCCCACACCCCATTGGAGTGGATGGGACGCCGCGGGACAGCTTAGGACCTTGCCGAACCGGACCGTGCTGGGCGGTGAGGCCGGAAGGCAGGACATGTGTTGATGCTAGGATATCGTAAAGACGCCGGCGCTGGGACGTTAAACTCGCTGCCGTGTCTGCAGCTGTTGTGCCCGAAGCCATCTGCTCGGTGTGAAGCGCTCCGTACAGAAGTCCTGGGCCGTCCCGAAAGCCCCTTTAAAGCCGCAGAATTTACTGACTCTTAATCGAATCTCAGAACCGGTCATATCTGGTAAACATGACCAGTGTTTCATCTGCGCTCTCTTATTTACCTCCAGACTTCGTGCACGGTCGTGTGTGCTCCTTTGCTCCACGAAGCTGGGCCGCCGAATATGATCCTGAATGCCTGACGGCACGGGTGATGGAAAGTAGCGTTTTCTAGACCCTGCTAGACGCTGTAATAAGCGGTGGCGGGATGGTGGGCCTTGCACCAGACGCCGCATACGGCAATTTTAACAAGCGACGGGGTGTGGCCCAGTCCTAAGGCTCACACCTCGCGTCGCGTAGGTCTGTGTGTGTGTGTGTGTGTGGCACTGTGCAGTGGGGCAGAACCGGGACACGTTGGCTGGCAACTGCCTTCCTTGGTAATTGTGGTGATGGTGGTAGCTTGCTGGCAGGCTTGGGTAGGTGTGTGAAGGAGGCGGACACGCTGATCAATTAGGCGCCTCAGGGCTTTCAGGCGCGCGTTGGAAATGGATGAGGAGCATTTTGCAAACGTCGAAAATGTTTTGCAACGCGCGGAGATGTCCGGAACTATGGAATGTTTAAGAAGATGAACTTTCACCTTGGCCGATGTCGCTTAGTGGTGTGTTGCGGGTGTTTGTTGGGGGGGAGGTCCCAATGTTCAAGCTGAGGAGGAACCTAGATTGCACACAAAGGCGCGAACCCTACATGTGTTCAAGATGACTGAACCAGACGGCCATATATGTGCGTGTAAGGAGAATGGGTGTCTGGTCTAGAAGGTTTAATCTTGCCCTGGATGATGAGCAATGCTCCTCGAGCAGCAGCCGCTGGTGCCCCATATATATGTCCAAAATAGGTAGTGGACCTCCTTTAAATACTTTTGTGCGGGTCCAGCAATGTCAACCAGAAGCTCTTGGGACGATGCAATGCCATGCGCGGCGCACAATCCGCAACCCCCCAACCATATCTGTTATACTATGTGGGCCATTGGACTCCACCAGGCTGTTCCCGACTGCTGCGTTAAAGCGACTGCTGCGTTAAAGTGACTGGTGCAGTTAGGAGAACTGACAACTGCACCAACCCGTCGGTGGCATCCGATTCCAAGTAATAATACGCGGGTAAGTTTAGGACAAATTCCTTCTCGCCCTACTTTAAACAGCATGCATGCCATCTGCGGTTTTTTTTAAGCTCGACGATCCCCCGCGACGTGAACACACACTAAAGAACACACACAGCCCACCTGATGTCACAGAACCACAACACACACGTACACACGCGAGTACCTCTCACGCGCTCACGATCCTGGAAGCACTGCATCGTACACTGTATCTTCGAGAAACCTCATATCCGTGTGCACTACAGGTTTCAATCCCGCTCCGCGCGCCGTCCATGCCATGGTTTCGTGACCGACTGCGCGTGCTCATTTCGTTGAGGAACATGCGCGTTTGATGCCATGATGCGCTTTAGCATAAAAAATACACCTTTTTGCCACTACGCCCGCGTCTGACCCGTATGTTTCCGTACATGCCCGTACACCACACCATTAGATTGCCTCCCTCACGAGCTGTCCGCGGTTGCGTGTTGCGCTGCCTTGGACCATTTTTCCTTTCTTCCTTTTTTTCGCAGTCCGCGGCAGACCAGTTTATTCTTTTCCCCTTGAAATCCTTAGAGCCGCTAATTTCTTATCCCCCCGTGTTTGTCCAAATTACTGCGAGCGGCACCCACAAGAGACGACGCGCATGGAGCCACATAGCATAGCCCGCTGGCAGTAAGAGCCCGCCCAGGGCTGCTTCGCCACCACCACCACCACCACCACCACCACCACCACCACCCTCCGGACCACCCGGACCACGGTGTCTCGCTCGGGTCACATCAACAAAAAAACATCTTTCCCACCCACCCCCTACCCCCACCCCACCCGTCCACATGCTGAAGCGCATTTCCCTCCTTCGCCCATTCCTCATTCCACAGCAATCCACCTACATGCACATGTCTACACGCATAGTCAAATACACACCTGCGGCATAGCTAGATAGATATATATACAGAGGGAGCTATAAGACCACCACGTCAGGACACAAAAATACGTTCGCAGTGGTCCTGGCGAAGAAGCCACAACACGACATGTACGACGAGATCACTAACCCTAACATCACATACCTTCCTTCGCATACGAGGAAAAAGCGCCTCTTTCCTGCCTTTCCTACTAACACATCACCACTACAACATCACCACCACAGCACCAGTTAATTGGATTGAAGGAAAACAGCCATCACATATTTATAGCCTTGAAAGCTATTTACCAGGAAGCGGCAGCGCAAAAGTGGTCTTCAGCTGGATGGCGGGCCTTGTCCGGCCTGAGGCACCGCTTGGTCCAGGGAGGGACGTGGCTGGTGGCGGCAGCACCGCAGCAGTTGCCGTAAGCGGCGCCGCCGCCGCCGTACTGCCGCTAGGCGCCGCCGCGACAGCGGCAGCAGCAGCGGCAGCGGCGGCTGCATCCCGCAGCGCGCCCTGCAGCCGCAGCTTGGCAGCCACGGGCTGCGCTGCAAGGTGCGTCTTGAAGGCGGCGCCAGCAGCCGCGGTGGGCAAGCTGGTGATGAGCTTGACGGCCATGTCCCTCAGCGCGGGACTTGCTGCCGCGGGCCCCGCGGAGGGCGCCGCCAGCTCCACCAAGAGAGGCACCAGAACCTGAGGGAGGAGCGAGAGTGAAAGCATTTTACGTGTGCATGATTGTGCGTCTGTGTGTGTGTGTCTCTGTGTTTGCGAAGTTAGAGAGGTTTGTGTATGCAACCGAGTCCGCGTGTCAGTAGGTAAGTTCCCCGGTGTGCGTGTGTGTGCGTGCGTGTGTGTGTGCCTGAGTGCGAGTATGTGACGAGGTTGGTGTGGCAGCTGCTGAGCAATGACAAATTTACTGAGGTCCCGAGAGGTGGGGCGGAAGGACGCCACAAGAAGTGGGGGAACGATGCTACTTGGCTGCTTGGGTGGCGTGGTGGTGTGCGGCACCTGAAGTTCCCAAATTCCCAAATCCATGTCTGAAGGAAGGAAGGAAGGACGGAACAGTGCGCATATGAGTCTGTGTGCATGTGCGTGTGCTTAGTAACTGACTTGGCAAACTAACCCGCATGCAGTCAAACCTATAATCCATCAACGCCATGACCATGCAACTTTATCTTCAAATCTTTTTTCCGCTCAAACCAAATTAAATTCTTGGGGCCCCGCAGGGCCCATGGGCGTGAGCCTGTTGTTGCAGCTTCGCTGGTTGATTTCGCATTGGCCGTACCACATGTGCAGATACGTGCACGTGTTTTCCGCTTCGCAACGCCCCCCGGGCGACACACGCTGCGAGGGTTTTGAAAGTTCCTGATATGGGCATACAGCCACACATACAGGCACACATACAGGCACACATACAGCCACACATACAGGCACACATACAGCCACACATACAGGCACACACACCTGCAGCACCCCCTCTTGCGCCGCGCCGCCGTGTGGACCCGCCAACGTGGCCGCCAGAACCAGCAGCTTTAGAGACTCGGCCACGAAAGATTGGTCAGCGCCTGTGGGTGGAAGGAATTGACCGGCCGTTGCGGCCATGCGGCAGGGGGATGGAAGGAATGTCATTACCTTGTGGCTGTGCCAAGTTAGGTCATGGAACACGTGCACGTATAGTACGGACGTAGACGGAGGGTGTGTTGAGGTCTGGAGGCTTGTTCCCGCCCCGGGGTGTTGCGCCAATGGTGGCCGCCTCGTAGCCAATACTAGAGAGCAGGTTTGCTGACATACATACAAACAGACAAATGCACCCCCGCGTACCTGAAGTTGGCTGCTTGGGGCGTGCCAGCAGTGCTGCCACACGCCCTAACGCGGGCGGCACCAGGGAGCATACCAGCGTGCGAACCCATCGGCCGCGTGGGGAGCTAGGGTCTCCAGATGCTGCCTCCTGTACGGCGGCCCGTACAGCCTCCAGCACCGCCAGCGCTGCTGCCGATGGCACATCTGCCTGGAACGCGGCTGTCAGCACCGCCAACACATAGTCCCGAGCTTCGATGGAGTCCATGGGCCGCGGACTTGCCGTCGGTGAGGGGGCTGGTGATGCTGCCAGGCTGCCGGCGACGGTAGCAGCGGCGCCACCAGCCTGCGGTGCAACGCCTCCCGCCGACACCCTGGTCGCTGTTGTCGGTGTTGTTGTTGTCGTCGGTGTTGTTGTTGTTGCTAAACGACTGATGGAGCCCACAGCGGCCCCCGGAGTGGATAGTCCGTTGTTGCGGGCGGATGCAGGCGGCAGTTGATGCTGCTGCTGCTGTTGCTGTTGTTGCTGCTGCTGCTGCTTGGAAGGTGAGAGAAGGGTGGGCGTGGTGCCCGGCACATTGCAATCCACTGCTACCACTGCCGATGCTACCGCACCCGTCAGCAGGATAGGCACCAATGCCGCAAGGCGTCCCTGCAGTAACTGCGCCGTCACAGCGGTAGCACCCGCAGGGACGGCGACAGCAGGGTCATTTCCATCCTCCTCGCCGCCGCCGCCGCCGCCGCAATCTGCAGGCTGCCGCCGCCGCTGCCGTAGCACCTTCTGCAGGCCCCTGTAATGCAGCTCCACCATATCAGCCACCGCCACAATGGCAGCCGCTGCCATGACAGGAGGCGAGGGAGAGTCCCCGCTCTGGCCGGCGTCCGCGGCTGACTGAGGCGCCTCCTCTGACAGAGCTTGAGCCGGAAGCTCGGTAGTGCGAGCTTGCAGCACTGCCAGGGTCGTGTCAAGGTAGCTCTGAGCCGCCACCACGAGCGGAGGAGGAGTCCCGGGAGAGGAGGTGAGGATAAGTCGCAGCGGCAGCTCCAGCAGCGGTCCGACATGGGGTCCCAGCGAGCTCCAGGACGCCCTGAGCACACAGGTGAGAGAGACCACGGGAGTCCAGACGCGGGAATTTAGGGTTTTATTGAAGAGGGCCTCTAGAATTCTTATTCTTATTCTGTGAAGCTACTTGGCCCGAAATAATCAACAGGGGAAGACAAAACACGACCACGAACGAGAGAAGCTGATGCCGGGGGATGCTCGGAGGGAAAATGAAGATGGCATGACACATGCATGGGATGATGTGACAGCAGATTCTTGGAAGCGAGGAGGGCCTTTTGCCGTGCAACAACACCGGAGCACCATATGGACCGGCCAAATCCTGTAATAAAGCAAAATACTGTGTGAGGAATGGAGAGACGAGTCTGATAATATGTACCTTGATGAAACATAAGACGTCCTCCGTAATACTTCCTAAGACGTAGGGCACACATGGGTCTTAAAAAGCGAAGTTTCGCGCGCAATTTCGTGCCCATGCATACGTGTGATACGTGTGTTCATGTACGGCTGTTCGCAGGGTTTGTCCTTTACCCGAGCCTTGACCCAGGAGCCACACAAGGCTGCGCCCGTGGTGCGCGCGCGCTGTGGGCACAGCCTTGTGGACACATATGCACCTTCTGCCACTAGTTTTCCCGCCCAACGCAGCGCGCTTTTCACCTTCGGATCAGTTGCTGAGCCGCCGCCAGCAGCTGCACTGCACACTGGATGAGCCCAGTCGACGCCTCCATCCCCAAGGTGGATGGCAGCGGCACACAGCCCGGAACTCCGTCCAGCCCGCCCAACCCGTCAAGCGCCGCTATGTCGTTGCCGGGACCCTTCATGCCGCAACGACTCTCATCACCGTCGTTGTTGACCTCTCGTCCTCGTGCCGTCGCAGGCGCAACCGAACAACGAACAACGAATGGCGGCCTCAGGCAGCCCCCGATGGCGGCGACACCTCCGCTTCCGCCCCGGCTGCTACTGCTAGGTGATGCTGTGCCATCCAGCTGTGCCGTGCTGCCGTACGAGTACGGCACGCAGACCGACGCAAGCAGCAAAATCGTCTCCACACACGCAGCGGTCAGGGTCACGTGTGCAGATGATGCGGCCTCTGAGGCATCATCGTCATACTCACCATCGCCGCGCAAGTGCCGCTGCCAACCGTTCGCGGTACCGTTCGCGCCCTGTCGGTGCGCTGTCGCACGTCCGTCCCCAGCGCCGTGCTCCTGACCGTCGCCGCTGCCTGAGCCCCGCCGGCCCGGCCGCGACACCCCCGCCTCCTCCGCATCGCCAGCGTCATCTCCGGCATCAACGGCGCCACAGTAACCGTCGCCGCCGACACCACCGTTGTCAGAGTCCTCCATCCTGAATCCCAATCCCTGCTCCGGAGCGGCGATACAGACCTCTCGAACAACCGAGCAACACGGCAGCACCAGGCCAGGCAGCAGCCCGGCCAAGCTAGCCGGTAACAGCCCGCCGAGCAGGGCCCAGTGGAAGGGCAGCAGCGCGTGAAAGGCCGCGGCGCCCAGGCACTGTAAAAAGTCACGCAGTACAGCTGGCGGCACGAGCGGCTCCGTCACTGCTGTCACCGCAGGTGCTGCCGGTGCGACGGCGTCGGCGCCAGCGCCAGCGCTGCCGGGTTCGTTGGCCGCCGCCGCAGCAGCAGCAGTGGGAGCGGCAACGAACATTATGGTAAGGTGTTCGGGGGACAGGAAGCGCTGCAGGGCGCGGAGCACGCCTGTAAGACGTACGGCCGCGTCCTGGAGCTGCGCCAAGTCCGTCGGTCGCGCTGTCGACGACGGCGCCGTTGCCGCCGCCACCGCGACTCCCGCCGGAGATCCGTTGGCAACGGAAGAAGCGATGGAGCCCTGGCTCGGCGAAGGCGACGACGTGGCGGCGGCGGCGGCGGCCGCGGAGGCGGTAGCGCCACGTATGGCTTCATGTACACAATGCGCCAAACGCGCGGCAGCATCTGACAAGAGCATCAGCCCCACCTCCAGCAGCAGCCTGAACTGCGCCCGAGACGAAGAATTCGCCGCCAGCTCCGCCGCCGCCGGAAGCCGTCCCGCTAACGCTGCCAGCGCAGCTGGACACGCGGCCGCATACACCGGGCGGAGCACTGCCGCCAGCGCTGGCGTCATCCCAAACCCAGGCTCGCCCATATAACCGGCGTTGGCGCTACCGCCAGCAGCAGCATCGCCGATCACAGCCCCTCTCGGCGTTCGTTCTTCGTCTTCCCCTTCGCCACCCCCTTCCGCTGCCGATGGCAGCGGTGACGGCGACGTGCTGCCCTCCAGCAGCGGGCTCTGATACGCCGCCAACACCACTTCCGGCTGCGAGCTAAGCACCGCATGGTCCTGCAGCAGCAGCCCCCACAGAGCCTGCAGTCGGGCCGCGTGCGGCTCCTGGGCCTTGGTCACAATGCCCGCGCATAGCGTGTCGCCACGTGCAGCCGCGGCCGCTGCGATGGCGGAGCACTGCGCCTGGGCGCGCAGCAGCTCCACCCGCGCGCGTGCTCCCACCCACTCCGCATACTCCGCGTAGCGTAACGTGTGCCAGGCGGACAGGGGCGCCGAGAGCAGCTCCATCAACCGTCGCATCACCACCGCGTCACCTGGGTAGGGAGCATGGACAGCGATGGATGGGGACAGCGGCAGGGCAGGGCGGGGCCTGGGAAATACGTCGCGTCTGGGTAGCTAGGTAGGTATGTAGGTAGGTAAGTAGGCTTGGTGAAGGTGAAGCACCGCTGCGGATGCGGACGGCGCTTACGCGCGTACAAGTGGCCGAGAGCAGCTGCCTCTCGGCCTCTGTTACGTTTTGTTGACCAGAGAGCAACAACTCCATCCACAGCACACCGAGGAACAGAGGGAGTTTTAGGATTAGGGGTTTTACCCTAAAACCCTAAAGCCCTAACCACATACAAATCCACAAGTATGATGTAAGATGGATTTCATACGTCACAACCCACAAGGAGCAACACAATCCGGAGAGTCCGCTGCCTTAAGATGTAACACATGATGAACAATGTGCCCTTCGCAAGGCAGCGCCGCTGACATCCGCCGTTGGCACGGCCAGCTTGGAGGCCCGCAATGAGGAGCGGCAGAAGCCCTCGTGGAATATAATCTCGAATGGTTCATAATCCTTCCCGCGAAAGCGCACGTCCCCCAGCCCGCCCGCCAAAACACTCCTCTCCCCTTCACCCAAACACGCACACTCTCACATCACGCACCCGCTGCCAGCCCGCTCTCCAAGAAGCACGTGGCCAAGACGCCACCTGCAATTTGCAGCAAGGGATGCTGCACCATGTCGCTTGAACCGCTCCCGCCAACGCCGCCAATGGCGGTGCTGATAGGAGCGCCGGGCGTTGCGGCGGTGCCGGTGGCGGCCGCAAGGCCCGGCAGGCCCGGCAGGCCCCCGGTCACCGCCTGGCGGGCGCCGAGGGAGCTCCGCAGCGCCGAAACCACTTGCGCTTGGTACTGTTCCATTAGCCGTGCACCTGTATCACAGGCAGGCAGGGATTCACGCAAACAGAGCTAGGTAGGAACATAGCCAGCTAGACATACATGCATACATCCATACGTGCATACGCACATATATGCATACGCACATACATGCATACATGATTCTGTACCACTAAGACGCTCCCTTCTGAACAGTCGCGGATTAATTACAGGGAGCAACAAGCACGGACTATACGCAGTGAACAGGGCGACGATTTGGCTCTTGCAACAGACTCAATTTTTGTGCAGAATTTTCCTACTAAAACTCAACTCGTGTGTATAAACATATAAAGGAACCCCCGTTTGTATACATGTCTGTCTGTATGTATAAATATGTAATATGCATATATATGTGTGCAAGTCTATATGTATACGTATATGTAAACAAATATATGCATGATATCCAAATAAAGACAAGGTTTAATACAAAGCTTTAAATCCAAATGTTCATCACGTTCTCACCCACCTTGCAGCAGCGGATCCGGCACGTCTCCAAAGAGCTGCACCAGCAGTGTCAACATTCGGACGCCGTGAGGCCTCAAGGACTCCAACGGGCAGGTGGCCAGCTTGAAGCCCGTATCCACAAGAACCTGGCCGGGAGGGAGGAAGGGAGTTACGGGAGGAGAGAGGACGGACGCGGGGGCATTAGAAACCTGGCCCGTTTTAGGCCCGTTGTTAGGGATGAGCGAAGAGGTAATAAGAGGTAATAAAAGGGAAGGTGGTTTTGTTGTAGGGTGGCAACGGCGGCGACGGCGGAAAGCATTGGGCACGCGGCAACAGCACAGATGCCGGCGTAATACAGACATATATATGTACCTGGAGCTTTGCAATGAGCAGGTCGCTGCCGCGGCCACCATGGCCGCCCGCCGTGCCGCCGGAGGAGGTGGTCCGATCGGACGCCTGGCACTCCAGTACGGCAGGGTCACGATGCCGCTCGTCAGACGCCACGCACACGCGGATGGCCCTAATTAAGCACTCGGCTGCGGGGACAGATACGCATGCAGCGTGCAGCAGCGCGGGGGGTGGGAAGAGGGAGTAGCAATAGAAGAGGGTTGGAATGGAAGGTTGGAACTGAAAAAGAAACATTAGTTTATTATTTTTCCTTAAAAATTATTGCATAAGATGCCGGCGTAACTAGAAAGATTGAATTGAATTGAAAAAAGCCTAACTTCGTCCGGATGAGAAGGAGGTTTTCATGGGCTGCAGTTGATGGTGAGAGGATCACATAAATTGTAGGGAAGGTGGAGGAGATTACGGGGAGAGTTCGCGCACCTGCGAAGTGCCGGGTCCGAAGGTGCGGGGCCACAAGCACCTCACGAACAGAACGCGGGGTCTTGCTGCTGACGGATCGGGGCCCCGCCTTTGCCCCTGACGCTCCGGCTGCCCCCGAAGATGCGGTGAACCCGGCGGCGGCGACGGCGGTGCCGCCGCCGCCGCCGCCGCCGTACTTCTCATCTTCATCATCGTCGCCGCGCGGCACATCCGCCGCGCCGCCATCGCCGCCACTACTTGCGGCAGTGGCCGACGACGGACCGGCAGCGAAGACGACGTCGCTGAGAAGCTCCAGCCAAAAGGACGGCACCGAAACCACGCTGGCGTTCAATATGGTTGTTATGGTTGCACGCAGTTGACCTGCGTGGCAGATTTTTGAGAAATGGCGGGTCAGAAAAGTCCAAGGGAAAAAGACGGATCGGAAGAAGTGAACACATTACGTACATCGCCTTAACAACGAAGGTACATGAAATGTTGTCTTTCAACACAACGAAATTCGCTCCCGCCTGGCCGTTCTTGGACGATCTAGGCATGATGCTGCTTCAAGACACACCGCGCCACAAAGGAATCCACGACGTGCTGTTCCCTTCCATGTCCATGCTGCATCATACCCATCATGTCCATGTTGTGGAGTTTTCGTTATGAAATTTTATACAAGCGCAATCAAATCTCGCCCACACGGCCCCCCTTCACACCTTCGCACCTGCAATTCGAGCATCGCTTTCCCTGTCCAGCGCCGCAAACAGCAGCGGAGCCGCCTCCGACGGCCGCAGCGCCTCCGCGGATCGCTCCGCCAGGTGCCGCAACGTCAAGGCTGCTGCTGCACGGAGGTCAGGCTGGCTGGAGAGGAGGTGCGACTGCGAATGACAGAAAGCGGTTGCGGCAGCAGCAGCAGCGCCTTCTTGTAAGGAGCTAAAAAAATCAAGGGTTTGTTACCATTCATGGAAAAGAAAGGGAACGCACGTCTGCAGCAAGCAAGCAGAGACAGGGTGTGGTGTGGTGTGGTGCTGCATGAGCATAAAAGATGTGGTGCTTAGTAGCAGGTGTTGTGCACAACTGCCATCTCAGGGTCGAACACCTTTTGAGCTCCGAGGCTGCATCACAAAGCATGGTTCCAAATCTGCCCCACCACACCACAACGGAGGGGTCCCCCAGGACACGTCATCAGGACATGACATGGACACGCAACGCTAATGCCCTCCGCTCAGTGTCCTTCCCTTTCGCCCACTCTCCGACCCGCACGCCCATCATTGCGGCCGCAACGTACCAGCAGCAATGGCACGTGCTTGGCCGGTGGCACAGCATGCGGCGCGAACAGGATAATCTGCTGCACGAACAGCACCAGCCCCAGGCCGCCGTCGGCGCCGCCCCCACCGCCGCCGCCGCCACGGTGCAAGGACGCTGCCCCATCGGAGGCAGCGCTAGCACCGTCCGTGACGCCGACCGTGTGGCCGCCTCCACCACCGCTCGCTGCCACTAGCGACTTGGCCCGCACATACGCCAAACTCCCCAGGCTGAACTCGGGACCCAGCACGGCGACGGATGCGTTGGCCAAGCGGGCGCAGGCAGCACGCAGGGCAGCCGACTCGAAGGAGCTCACCTACGCGCACAATGCCAGCGAAAAGGACATATATTCGACTGTAGAACAATTTGACCGTTTACAAGGGCGCTTATCTTAACTCCTACTGTAGCGTTAAATCCCCCCCCTTCCTCCTTTCCGCCACTTGGGCCCTTAGTACTCTGATCCCGTCCGCGATATTGGGACATCTTTACACCCGCTCCAAGACGGGGACAAGATAGCCCGACTCCGCTGCAGCGTGTTGTGATGCTCCAACCCGCCCCGGCAGAAACCCCCCGCCCTAGTCTGCCTACCAATAGCTCCTGTCCCAGCTGCAGACTGGTCTTGACACGTGGCACAAACGCGCCGCCGGCACTGCAGGCCACCAGCCACAGCCCGTGCAACACCCACGCAGCCGCTGACGTGCAGCCTGGTCGGGCAGCCGCCGCTACCAGCGCCTCCGCGCTGCTGGCCACCGCGGCCTGCATCGCCAAGCCGCCGCGCGCACGGTGTGCTGCGCCCAGCGCCAGCGCCAGCACCGCACGCTGTTGCGAATCGCGGCCCTCCGCAGCACTGGCCGCAACCTCGGACGCGAGCGCGCGTACGACGCGCAAGGCCCAAGTTTCGGAGCCGGTCGCCGCAGAGGCGGCGTACGTCTCCGCGGCGGCGCGAGATAGCGCCGCGGCCGCAGGTGAGGCGGCCTCCTCATCCGGCATGAGTACCTGAGCCAGCTGCAGCAGCTTTTCGGGAACCTGAACCGGGATCAGCAAATGAACGGACACACGGGAAACGACGTCAGGTATTGCGAATCGGGCGGGGCTGGGGAAGGGGTGGCAGGTTGTGGCGCCAAAGAGCCATGCCCAGGTCATATGCATGGGCATATCCATGAGCTGCGCCGTCTGACTGACACGGCAGCAGCAGCAGCAGTAGCAGCAGCAGCAGTAGCAGCAGCAGTAGCAACAGACCTTGTCAGTCGTATCCAACGGCGCCTTGGGCCGCCGCGCTGCCACCCCGGCCGCAGTGTGTCCGTAGCCTGCCAGCACCGCCACCGCCGCCGCCACCGCCAGAGGGAGGCGGCGGCAGGCCGCCACGTCACGGCTCTGGCGGGCAAACGTCTTGGAGGCCTGCAATGCGTTCTGGATGACCTGCGGATAATCACCAAGTCCGCAAGGGCAATCAGTTGCAACCCCTCGAATGCGGGTCGGCAAAAAAAGCATTGCTTGCTTGCTACTACGCTTTGATGGAAAGAAGCATCGTGCTAAACGATCCAACTAGCTTGTAATTATGTTATTGACATCCTGCGAAATCATATATATTACTATTTTATAAGTAACTGGCCTGCAGAAATCCAATATGCGGAATCACATATTGAGTCCGTGTAACAACATCGCCACAAGCGCCAAACCGTTGTATCGTGCGTCCGGCGCAATGGACGTCGTCACGCCCTCGCCATGACGCAGCACCACACACACACCTACCTCGAGGACCTGCAGTTGCTGCATAAGCGGCGAAGCTGCCATCTGACGGCCCAGCAACACCATCTGCACAGTAAGCAGCGCCGCCTCCAGCCCAACCGACTGCGGGTAGGTCGCATGCGCGAGGCCCCCCGGTGGCGGCAACGCCGCCACCCCACCCACGCCCTCCGCGCTGCCGCTGCCGCCGCCGCCGCCAACGGCAGCAGCAACGCCGAGGGAGGCCCCTGCCACAGCTACAGCCGCTACCCCCGGGGCCCCAGCTGTACCATAGCTGGAAGACCCCTCACTACCGTCGGCGCCTGAGAGCAGCGCAGCGTAATCCTCCGACGAAAGCCAGGGTGGCAGCTGGGGCGCGCCGCGGCCGCCTACAAAAGGGTTCGATAAACTGGAAGAGTCATCTTAAGCCCGGAGACGTCTTGAAGAAGAAGAAGAATGAAGACTGTAAAGATGCGACATCGTTGTGCCACAAGCGATATTTGCATTGTTGTGGAAACTGCCTTCTGCGCCTGGTCCTCTCGAAAGGTGATGCCAACATGGTACACGTACCTATCGAGACCAGCCCCGTTGAAACCAGGCTTGCGCTTTACCAAATAGGAAACGCTGCACTCCGAGGCCGACGGAGAAGGCCCCGGTAGTTTTTCTTATATTAATGTTCTCTTTGCCCTAGAAGGCGCGTTTGCGCCAACGCTCAGAGACCGGGCGCTCCCTAAAGAGACCAATTCGACAGTTTTGATAGACAGACTTCAAAAAGGTGACCAGGAACCTATTACGACGACCACATAACCCACCAGTGAAGCACCGCAGCGCGTCCTCGAGCGGATCCGTGGCGGGTGGCCACGGGCCCAAGGGCGCATCGTCCGCGCAGAGGAGCCCTCGCAGCCCCGCCAGCGTGAGGGCGTCAGCAGCACCTTATAAAAAACACGGCAGAGCGCGGCAGATGAAATGGAGCCAGAGCAAAGGAGGCCGGGTAATGCAGCGTCATCCGGTAACCCGGAGCTAAGGGGCAACACTTGGGGGCTGACGCGTGGCGTGTAGCTTCTATTAACGAAACAGCCCCCTGTGTGGAACGAAACAAACGGCGATGTACACCTTCCCTTGCGCGGCACATACCGTGTGTACATGTTTGCACTCATGTGGGCTCATGTACATACGCCGCGCGAGGAGGGTCCAAAGCAACCGGTACATATACCGGTACATAAGCAGGTTTTGGCCGGGAAAAAATTATTGGGAATAATTCTTGTTGAAAACAGATTAATAGTTGATTTTTCTTCTCACCTGGGGTTAAGCCCTGCCGGAACGGCCGCAAGCATGCCTTGGTCAACAGGGCCGTGTGGGACGAGGAGCTCGAGATGCGGCCGCCAGGAGCCCGGAGGTGAAGCTCCAGAAGGGATAGGATGAACGTGGCAGAGGCGCCTGCGGATGTGCGCCATTCGTACGTACGTACGTATGTCGCCGGAGGACCGCGACGCCGCATATACGGCAGGCCCAGAAGCCGAGGGCGATGATATTGAACATTAATAAAAAGGCTTTTTTCTGCTTTTTTTACATCAGATATGAAAATGCAAGTTCGTTTAAAAAACGGCTGCAAGATGCCTGCAGCCGTCGTGTTCAGTCCCATATCCGCAGCATCAAGGGCAACGAGCAAGGGCTAAGGCCGCCATCACATGCATCCATTCTAGCATGCATTCTATGCTACTGCAAAGCCCTACCCCGGCGAACCTACTCACCCGCCAGTAGCCCACCAGGGCCGCCCTTCGCTTTCGCAGGATCAAGCAGGTAAGATTGTGTGTCCAGCATTTCCAGCAGCGGCTCAATCAGAGGCCCCAGATGGGCCGACAGCTCCCCCCAATCGTGGTGCTCCACACCTACTGATCCACCGGCCGCCGCCATCGCCGCTGCCGCTCCCGTCCCTACGGACGCCGTCCATACAGTTGCGGACCTCACCCGCGGGGTCGCCACTAAAGCATCTCCCACCGCTACGGCGGCGTGCAGAGGCGGCCTTCCTGCGGCAGTGAAGGACGCCGCGGCGCCGGGCAAAAAGGGCTGCAGCCGGCCGCGACCGGGCGTCGCTGACGCGCCGCCTCCGGCGGCAGCTCCGAAACCAGAGCTGCCACCGCCGCCATGGCCCCCGTGTGCGGCGGCCAAGTAGGCAGACAGAGCTTGTAGCGCCACGGCGCGCCACCACAGGTGCACCGCGAGGTCCAATTCCGCTCCCGGGCGCGGGGGAAGGCTGCAGGATCGAAAACCCCCAGGTCGTCACCGCGTTGTATGAGAAGAGAAATGGAACCAGCATTAACGACAGCTAGGAGATCCGAAAGCTATTATCCGTGTGTGGACCCCATGGCACGGGTGCCGGGTTTCGCCCTCGCTGCTAGCTAAGCATCTAGACCGACGGCAGCAAGTCGACCATACGGAACCACCTGACCGTAGCAGGCCGTGAGCGCTGAAAGCAACTCAGCCACACGTTCGGCCAACTTACGAGCGAGTTCCCATCCATGCATACCACAAGCGAGCTCACGGAGCCGAAATTTTCTCAAAAAAATCCTCATCTGCCAGTCCTGGTAATGTTGATTCCTGGTTGAGACCGCTGCTGCAGTTGCGCAGCCGCCCCGCGGCCGCAAAAAAATTATCCAATTTAAATCTTGCTAAGTTACCCCGTACAGCCTACACACCCTCAAGTGGGGTGCTCCCGCCCACCTGCGCTCGTCGAGGTCCCTCCGTGCCGCCTCCCCGAGCGCCACCTGCCACAGCGCCGCCATCTTTGCTGGCCCGCGGACTGATTGCGGCACGCCCAGAGCGCACAGCGTTCCTAACAGCAGGAACCCCACCTCCTTACAGATTGCCCTGCACAGCACAGCACAGCACAGCATAGCATAAGCACAACACAAGACCCGACGCAGCGCACAAAAGCTCAAGACCCGACGCAGCGCACAAAAGCACAACACCCCATGAATGTAATGGGGCCAGACGGCGGAGCTGCAGAAGAAAGGAGCTGCTGAGAGCCGTGGATGCGATGGCCGCCAACAGGGAGCAAAGCATCGGTTAGCTTTGGTTAGTTCAATCCAAAGCTAGGAGGAGAAAGCATTATCATTTAACAACGTACATGCCGCGGTCCCAGCATTTCCTGTGATCGACAGTGTTCCCTCCACAAAGCAGGAAAAAATCTGCCTGCTGCTGCTGCGGCTGCATTCTGTATCTGACATGCAGCGCAGCAGCAGCCATTCAAAAGCGGACGCGAGGAATGGAGTGGCGCCGAAGGCCTCCATAGACCCCATCGGAAATGACCTAGACCACCACCCGACACAGGTTGATACACGATGAGGCCCTGTTGGACGCGGTTCAAGTAACACTTATTCCGAAGAGACAAGATTGTCCTGAGCGAAAAGGTAGTCAAGGAAAGGAACAGCAGGTCAGCACGTCGTACCTGCTAAACGGCTGCTCAGGGCCTTGCTCTGTGACCAACTCTTCTGCCAGCGACAACGCCCGCCATTGTAAACGGGCCGGGCAGCCCAACGGTGCGCGTGCCATGGCCAGCAGCAACCGTGACGCCGACAGTGCCGCGCCGTGACACGTGTCCAAGACCGCCCGCTGCTGCGCCTGAGCTGCCGGCCGGCCGCCGGCGCCGGCGCCGTCATTCGGCGTCAGCGGCCGCGCCAGCGACGCCGGAGCCAGAACAGTAGCGGCGGCAGCGCAGTCAGCTACAGAGGCCGAGATCCTCGCTAGTGATGGAGTGGGCGGCGACATGCCTCTCCCGGATTGAACACCCGAGCTCTGGTCAGGACCGTTTCCAGTGGCCATGGCCGCTCCAGCCGCTGCCGCTGCTGCTGCCGTCAGCGCTTTCGGCGACGGGGGTGCTGAGGTTGCAGCTGCTGAGGACCGTGGCGCAGCCATCTGCGCGACGCAAGACGCCACCGTGTCTAGGCAGCTCGACAACATGCGTGCGGCGGCGGCCGGGTGCGCAGCGGCCAGGGCCGCCAGGGCGACGGATGCCTGCTGGCGGGTGGCGGCGCTGTTCGAAGCAACATACGGCTGCAACAGGACCCCAAGAGAGTTTGCGGTTTCGTCCGTAACCTCCCCAACAGCCTCCAGCAAGGAAGCCAGCGCTGCGGGACCGATGGAAAAGGAAAGGTAAATGGAATGAGACAATTTTTTCCAACGGAGCCATGATCGCAGTTGAAAAGCGGCCGTAAGGGGAGAACTGAAAGGGTGCGTGAGAATTACAGCAGGAAAACCAGAGGTGGTTTAAAAACCGGACTCCAGACTCCCAACACGGGCATGTGGCGGCATTGGGATCACACTTCTACACGGGCCGCTTACCCTCCAGTGCGACCACAGCCGCCGGGGTGGACAGCCGCTTGTCCAGAGTGTGAGCCAGCCGCTCCAACAACTTGCGCTGCGTGACCTCCGTCAAGGAAGACATGATGCCGCGACGCAGCACGTACAGCGCACATGCCTGCAGCGGGGGCAGTTCGCTGCCTGTGAGGCAGGGATCGAGAACAAAAACCAATGGGGCGAACACAATTTGTTGAACTACGAAAGTCCAGGCCTTCCAAAAGCACGCGGCCTCGGAATTACACCTACGGGCCGCGGGTTCTGCTTGTTGCACTAGCAAAATCACGTAGTCTGCCCTGAGCGGGGCTCGAACCCTGATCCTCAACCCTAAACATGCTACTGAAAAACCAGATTGGTCCGAAGGGACCCGTAAGCATGAGAAGGGAGGAGGGTGCCGGAACAAAGCAAGCGAAGAACGCAGGGGTGCATGTCCGCAAGGGTGCATGTCCAGACTGAAGAGGGCGCTTTCGTGGTGCCGGATTGGTCAGCGGTGCTCAGCTCGGTATGCAGCAGGTAATGGGTGTCGCCGCCGGGCGAGGGCCGCCTTCATAAAATAATAAGTTGAGGTCTCGAGCAGATGGCCCCGACACACGGCCACTCCGTACAGGCCGCGTCTTACGGCCTGATGGCTGCTGGACGACTGGTTAGAGGCTGTGCCGTCTGAAGGCTTAGGGTTGTGGCTGCCGTCTGACTGTTTTACTGTATGACTGGCTAATCCCTCACTCAATACCGCGAGGCTCGCCTTCAACTCTTCATGTGTGGCAAACCGTCGGTCCGCGGCCAAGCCCCGCCACTTCCCCCTCCCCTCCGACAATCCCATCCGTATCTGCCTGTCTTTGACACACAGGGCCCCCATCCTATTTCCCTTCAGACAGCACGGCTACGTTCGTGCTATTCTGTCCTTTTCTCATGCAGCTCCAGGCAGCGCTCGTACCTGCCAGCCCCGAACCCAGCTCGCCGTTCGGGTCAGCCGTCGCATACACGCGCGCCTCCGCCACCATCCGCGCAGCCTCGTTCACAGCATTAATGAGCTGCCAGGGGATAGAGGGGAGTTCCAAAAGGGAAGGGAGAGCAAGAGTGGAGGTACATCAACAGGCGCTCTTGCTCGCCAAGCTGCACAAGCGCAGGACGACGATACTGGATTCGCTGCCTGAAAGAGGAAAACAATTCTGCAGATCGAGGTTTGCTATAAAAGCATGCATCGCATAGCAAAATATCTCTACCTACGGCGGCCCTACCTGCGCTGTTCAGTCCCTTACAGGCAACGAATGACCGTGCGCCGCCATGCACTGTCCAATCCTTGGGCGCTAACTAACCAACTAACTAACCCGGAGCAAACGCTGACTCTAAATTTGTCAGTAGAAGCCAGCAGCTCCAGAATAGTCACAATCCTTTTTTCGTTATCATAGAACAGGCACCCTTCCTTGACACCTGTCCATAAGCTAAACCATTTCCCCGACCGCTTGCTGAATGACTTTAACGCCCCTCCTCTCTTCAGCGAGTCCTCGTGCTATCCCGCGCGACGGATTGGCCTGCCCGGCCGCCCACCCACCCACCAGCCATGCGATCTCCAAGAGCTCCGTTGTCTGCTCGCCGCCATGATGGTGCTGGTGCTTCACAGCGGCGATGTAAGCCATCCACGATCTGCTGATGCCCAGGCACGCCTACAGGGTACAGGAGCGTTGCGTGGCGAAAGCAAAAGCCCACACGCACGCTGGAGTAGGTACTTCTCCCGTTTCCCCCCTCCCCCAGAAGATCTACACCCCGCTCAGCACCTTTCCACATGATGGAAATGCAGCAAGGCTGTGACGGGAAAACCAATCGGGTATCCGGAACGTCGTTGGCCGCTTCTACATCCCTTCCTATGGCTCCGGTGTTCAGGCCCCACAGCTCCCCCCCACTCCAACTTTCAGCTTCCAATTCACTGATGGGGATCTCATTGAATTGAATTGGACATGAAGCGAGGGCCCTCCTGTCCCCCTGCATTAAGTCCAACAAGCCCCCACGCACCTCCCGCTTCGAGTGCACAGCCGCGTCCAGCAGGGGCGCAACGAGGCAGGCCCGCACGCAGCCCGACACTACCCGCTCCGCCGCGGCCTTCTTGGCGGGGCGCTTCTCCCCCACCACGGCCTCGGACTTGGCTGCGGGCCGGGACGCAGCCGCCAGCTCACCGAGCGCGGAGAATGCAGAGTTGCGCACGGCCTGCCGGCAACCGCATGGCCACACCGCAGCGCGGGGAAAATGGAGTGGTGACGTTGCTCCTTGAAATCCGCTTGCAATCCGCCTCTAAACATCCAACAAGTAGCATGCTTATGCACCCGTGGCCAGGAAGTTAATTGCGATGCGAGGCCAGAGCAGCAAGGTGCTGCGGGATGACATTGTACTCTTTTTTCACAAACCCCACACGTCACTACCCTCTACAGCTCTTCCAATAGACAATGCCGATGTTTCGCCTCTTTCCCGTCGCTTTCCATGTTATCTCTCTCTCTCTCTGTGTCTGTCTATCTGTCTGTCTCTCCCTCTTTGCCGGTCTCCCTCTCTTCTTCATGCCTGGTCTATGTACCTGACGATACAGATAGCTGTAGCAGATCGTCGCATGGGTCCTTCTTTGCCCACAGCCCCATGGGTCCGTCACTCACCATACGACCCTGAACCACCTGTGCCTCACCTGTACGGGATCCTCCGTCGACACCAAGCACAACCGCAGCGCCTCGTCAGCACCGTATGCGCCATCCCGCCACAGCGGCCCGCCGCCGGCAGCGCAAAGCGCACTCAACAGCTTCAGGCAGCCCTCCCGGACCCCCTCGCATGTCCTGTCCTATCATGGAGACAGGGAACAGAGAACCACCGGAGAAACAGGATCTCAATCCTCAGAAGCGGCAGCTGACGACATCCACGGCAAAGACGACACGGCTAGACACCCACGAAACCGAGCGCCGCTTCATGCATATTTACTGGGAAACGCCATGTCTGTCACAGGGCCCCGTCTTGGTTTAGTTAACAAGGTAAAAGGCGAGCCACCTCACCGGTAAACGGGATCCAAATCCACCCAAATAAAGTTTTCCCACCATGTAACACCCAAACCGTGTAACACAAACACATATTATTGACGACTGGCGGGTGGGTGTACCTCCTCGTACCTTCGCGAAGCGCTGGACGATCAGCCACGCGTCCGCTTGCACCGCTGGTCCAGAGCGATCCGTGGGGCTCATGCCGCGCACCACCGCCGCCGCTAACCGCAGCGCAGCGCAGCGGACAGCATCTTGGTTGCCACCCTTGCCCACAGTGCGCAGCGCTATGCCCAATGACTCGGGCGCTGAGTTCCCAAGCATCCTTACACCACAAGGACAACAGCGGCGGCACGTCAGCAGGCATCCATCCACGACCGAAAAAAGAGGGTTGAGCCCACGGATGCCTAGCTTCCCACTCATAGCCACCGAGCGCCATAGCACAGCTTTTGTAAAGGTTTTTCCAGGTTCCCGTTTTCTGTACTTCCGCAGCTAAATGCTTGAGCCTCTACCTTCGCCTGCGCGCTCAATCAATTTGCCCCATGCGTGACTGTAAAAGTCTCTGAACCCGACCCAAGCAGTAGCGGAATCCCTACCCCCCCCTGTCCTCCTCTTGACCCACTCCTTGTGGCACCCAAGGGGCGTGAGAACCCGAACCCATATACCCTTGCCCAATGTGGGCCATCGGTCATGCAACGCAAGCACAACCCAGTTCGTTCTTACCCCCTGAATGACTGACGTACCTGCCGTGTTGGAGATGCAAGTGCGCCAGCAAGTCAACCAGGCCGATACGAATAGTCTGCGATGCAAATTCGATGCAAATGTCAGACAACGACTACCCTCGGGTCCGGCCATATCGGAGTCCAAGCTATGCCTAGTTTCGTCAACGGAGTGAAAGTGGGGTTTTTAAAGAGCGTTTTCATGGCTCACATGCACCACCTTACAAGCATAACATTTGACGGGAACTGAAACAAGACATCCACGAAACACAGCTGTCGTCGTTTGTAAGTATGGACATTCAGCAACTGGTTGGCATGGATGAGTAGCCGCAAGGGCGAACGCTGTCCCACGCAGAACCACAAACCACAGAGGCATAGGCAAACGCGACGATTTTTTGATGTGGGTCATTGGCTAAGGAACCAATGACGGCTGTCACTTGTGAGCCAAATCGGACGGAAAGGATCAAGCAGTCGTCATGCCAAACCAGAGGCAACTCACCTCTGCTGTGGACCTGCTCATGCCTTCCTTGCTGGCAAGGTACGATTGGAGCGCATTCACGCGCGTGTAAATGGAAATGGGATCGCCGTGCACGTACAGGAAAGAGAAGCAGCTGTAGATGAGGCGACGCACCTGCGTGAAGAAGAAAGTCAATGTAAGCGCCAGGGTGTGTCTGGCGAATCGACGCGTGCATGCAATGTGGTGTTGCTGTAAACACGAAGGCCGGTTGCCACCAAGTTGCAAGTGCAGCACCAGGTTAGGGCCGATGGGCGTACGCAAGGCAAGGAGTAGCAGCGTAAATGCATGGGCCCTCCCTTTCCCGCATGAGGAAGATCACGCTGTGTTATCCGGCGTGCGCCGTACGGAAGCGGCCCGAAAGAACAGGATGTTATAAAACACGTATATGTGCGCATTCATTGGTGTCTACGAGTAACCGCAGTCTGTAACTCGACGTTGGTAAGAGCAAGGGAAACGGTCGCCGCGCAGGAGCAGTCGCGGACACGAGTATCTCCAGCAGTTTCGCTCCTTACTTAGCAGCATATTACCCCTGGAAAACCCTCCCCGAAACCCTTTCCAACCCCTTTCCCTCCCGAAGCTCACAGCAGCACCGACTCCGTGCGCAAGCACTTCATAAAGCATCGTCTCGCATTGCCGCTGGTGTTGTTTGAGCACGACTTTATCGGTGCGTGGTATTGTCGCCACCAGCTTCTGCAACAGCTCCAAAAGCTGAACACCATCAGGCTTCCCGCGCTTGCTATTTCCGACGAGTAACTCAAGCTCCGCCATAAAAATTGGAAAAGGTAAACATTCTTCCTCATCTAAATGAGCACCTGGAGCCATCCGCGACTCCTTTTCAGGGGATGACATTTCCTAGGCTACAAGAATTACATAAATTTAATATGACATATTCGGAAAGTGTTTACATGGAACACAGCTGGTGAAGAATTTTCCTAGGCCCATGATAAAAACCAGCAGCCACCTGTTCATTATCAAGGATGCCGTACGGCATTCAGGGAGTTGAAATATCTTTGCGGTAGCATGCCAATTATGCTGTATCTGCATAAGGGAACTTGAGTTGAATTGGATTGTAGTAGAGCTTGTGGACTCCGCGTTGTCTGGTGGGGTTGCGGCTTGGGTTGGCTTGCAGTGGGTTGTCAGTCGCTTTCTGGATCTTTTGCTCCCAATTGGTCAAGGAATTAGAATTCATCGCAGATCAGGCGACTGGGGTGAACTTTATTGCTAGGGACGTCCAGAGCTTCTCCGCCACCACTCATGGCCACTACACACTTGCTCCGTCCTTGCGCACTCCAGCGGGCAACAGCGCCCTTCCAGCGGACGACACAAAGTTCGACTGCTGTAAGCCAAGCTGGCCCGGGTCCAGGTTCGAGCTCTTCGCCTGCAGTCGTGCCACCTGCGTCTTGCATTTCGCCAGCCAAGGGACCGAGACTACCGACGCCGTCCCTGGATCGACGAGATATCCTTTTGCTTTCCAGCTCTTTGGTCGTTTCTCATCTCGCTCAGCTCATTGGGTCCAGTCCTGCGCACGCGGCTGGGCCGGGCCTCAACCGCTATATACGCCGCAAAACCCTTGATCCGTGAGTTTGGCCTGGAATTGAATAGGAAGTACCTTCGATGCTCATTGTAAGGCTGCCTCTCTTACAATTTCGCTGCCCCTGGGTACTTTTGGTAGGCTGGAGACTTATGTTCCTCTTGTCTTGGAGGCGCGCGGTGTGCTTTCACAAGCCAAGTCCCTCGCGGCGAAGGATGTCGGCGCAGCACGCGAACTTCTCCGCCAAGGTCCTTTCAGGTAAGTTGCTCCCTCCAGTTTATTTTGTCAAATATAAATTTCCCTGAGGGCCTGAGGCGCAGTCGGATGAATTCTTTTGTTTTTCTGCAGTTGCAAGGTACCGTGCCCATTGTTGTAGGTCAAATCATCTGACCCAAATCGCCTGTGTGTCCGTGCACTTTCCAGCGGCCTGCGGGACAACATTCGTGCCATCGGGGAGTATGCGGCGCGGGACGGGCGCACAACCGAGGTCGGCCCTCTCGTGACCGGTTTTTTCAAGGCCCTCGAGTCGTACGACCAACTGCTGTACAACGCCCTGCGCGACAAGGCAACGCCGAAGCCGGACGAGGTCGAGGCCCGCATTCAGGACCTGTATACGGCATTTGACCGATTATTAGCAACGGTCCCTTCGGACATCTTGGACCAAGCCAACCGTGTGCTCGAGGTTGCGGCCGCGAAGGCAGCAACAGGCGCGGTCGACGCAAGTTTCAGCAGTGCTGGCCCTGTTCCAAATGGTGGAGCTGGCGCGCCTGTTGTTGATGACGAGGCGGCCGAGCTGGTGATGCTATTGCGCTGATGTTGCGGTATGGGACTTGCAATATGAGCTGGAGCTACTGCGAATTTCAGTGATGGGGGTGTAGACAGATGGGGACACTTTGGTGCGTGCCATTGTTGTCATCAATTACACAGCTCTGGCGAGAGGAGCGCTGCAGTCGCAGACATGGGGCTTAGAAGGGACTTACGTGAGCTATGAAGATTTCTGAGGATTGATTGGCAGTGGCGTACGCTTTCGATTTTGGGGGTCGCGCTGGGGCCGATGTGGCTCCGTCGAGAGGCTGGAAATATAAAGTATATTAAGTATTCGTGTGAAAAGCATGCTGTTTACGCATATGACGGGCATTGCACTCACGGAATGCCCGCCAGCAGCGTCTGATATACTGCAGGCTATAGCAGACGATACGATAGTGCGCCTGTAGCGCAACCGCAACGTTTAGACATACGCACTTGATGACTGGCTTTTTGGCCCACGTGCCTCGCACGGGTCTTGGCTTGGTTGTTTTGGGTGCTCGGGTCCGTGTTTTCGGGCATATATTATTTTACTGGCATGGAGTGTGGTATTTAGGGACGGAGGAGAGACTGTGAGCAGAGGGTTCGGATCGTTTCGCAGGTACGGAGCTCAACCACGGGCATTCTTTCCGGCCATGAGGCTGGCTGAAACACTTTTGCTAGCTGACGTTGCAAGCTTCAGTTTGCACTGAAGCTTCATGGAATTTACTTCGGACGCTGCACTGCACTGAATATGGGCTCTCGACAAATACAGTGACGATGTGGATGTTATTGAGGCGGCCTTCTTTGGACTTGCCACGATGCCCATCCGTTTGAGCCTGGGCCCGCAATGCTTTGGCTTTGCCAATTGGTCTCCTATTAATTGTTTTCATTGAAAGCTAGTGTTAATATAATGCTCCAACCTCCCTTGGAGTGGTTTCGACGCGCATCTGGCAGGAGGGGGTTTCATAGGAGGACCAGCGTTCAGGCCTTCCCCTGAGTACATTACCACATGGAGGCTCCATACATAAGGCAGAGTAGCCTAAGCCTGAGACCCTTCACAACCATGCCCCACACTAACTGTTGAAACTGCCTAATACCTGGCTCTTTCCATGTTCCCTGGCGCACCATGACCACCCACGCAATGCGCCCCGGTGTCCATCCACGGGGAGCAATGCCATGTCCTCACATAGCCCTTACATGTCGGACCTTAAATATCTCCCAACGTGAATTTTCTTAGCTATTCTTAGCCTAAACAAAGTATTCGTCTATCAGCGAGCACATACGAAACCCGGAGGTCCTTTCTCTTGCAACCACCAATTAGGCTCGGTCCCGCAAGGAATGTTAAGTAGGAAAACGCGGAAAATCGAAGCCGCTAAAAGCAGCTGCTGGTAAAGGCAAATTGCCACGTGCATCTGAGAGTTCTCCCTCCCAGGCTCACGGCCTTCAACACTCTGCCGAAATAAGCAGTAGACTACCCTGCTTAGCTCGAGAGCACACACCCCGAGCAGAACCTCACCAGGTTCAAGCTGGGCAGATCGCGCCTGTGATTCCCTGTAACGAAAACGGTGCCCAGGCTAGCGAACGGAAGGGAGAAAGGATACCATTGTTAAGGTGCACATTCCCTGCATTGGGACCGGCCAGCACACGACACTCGAGAACAGGCAGCTGACGCACCGGTGCCAACGGAACAGCACTTGGGGAGGGTCAGTGAAAAAAGGAAATGCTTGGACACGCGAGGTGTTACTGCCTCCTAGACCGCTTACACGCAGTCATGCACGACTAGTGCAAGGCAAGCACCGAAAATCAAGCGTCATGTGCGCGACCCACGAACGAAAAGATCTTGCGGACAACCTGGGTTCGGTCTGTACTGATACTCCGTACGACTACCTAACATTACCATTCACGCTGGCCTATTTTCCTCGCCTGCCTCCTCTAAAAGGACGCCTCCTCTTTGGCTGCATAACACAATCTGGGCTTCGGACGCAGGGTAACACAGCCGGCCAGGAGGTCTTAGCTAGCTAAATTGTGACACGTGCGGCTTGAGTCAAATTTAAGCAGCTGCTGCAACGGAACGCGAAGAATCTGCGCCGTGTTAAATACCCTGCTAAATTGGGCCCTGATCCAGCGTCTGCGACAGTCACGGCGCATGTGAGCTAGAGCTCCTTCCCCATCCTCAGCCCTGCCCTGTCCCCTCCTCTCAACTAAACTACACCTCCCTAATCGCCAATATTTGGGAGAGGGCCTGCCCGCGCTGTGATAACACCGCGCCCGTCCATCCAACCCGCACTCTACGATGCGGCCCATATGCAGCGCTCCATCACCCACACGCTTAGTCCTGTCCTGAATCCCGGCCGGGAAGTCGACTGGGCTGGTTTAAAACCCTAAAACCCCAGCGCACTGCCCTTTGGACAGCTGCAGACCGTGCTCCGGCCGCAGCAAAACATTCAGACCACTCGCCTAAACCTCTCGTGTTAATTGCAATCACGTGCGAAACGCTGGAGCTTTTGCCGTATGTCTACAAGGAGGCCAAAGCTCGTGTTTCTCAGCGGACAGTCCACCTGTCCACATTCCAAAACGTCTCAATTTGTCGTACATTCACCTCCACGCTCTCCCTCGATCCGCTTTTCCTGCGGATGCCCTCTTCAATCTGCTCGCCATGTGGCCAAGAGAGTTTTACGCTGTAACGATCTTTACCTTCCTAACGCACAACTGCCTTTCGCAAGCAAGATCTCCTTCTCTTCTCCCGGCCACACAGCCCTTTCCTTTCCCTTCCTTTCTCAGCCGTGGATGCCGGCGCTACTCGATGCTGCTGTCTCTACAGGTATTTCTTCCTGGCCACTGTTACTGCTATAACCGCTGTAACCGCGCGCTGTCTGCCATGTTGTCTTGCTGCTACTGCCCACCGTGCACTGCAGCCGCCCGTTGTCACGTTCACAACCTGATCATAACCGCCTGCTTAGATCCCAGACTGCCCAGACCAGCAAATCTCGACGGGTAAGGCCTGGAAAGGAACACACCGACTTTTCGGGACAGGTGGTCTACTTGGTCGGCTGTTGTTTTAGTTGCTGTCGCTGTTGCTGCTGCTGCTGCTTCTGATGCGGCCGCTGGTCCTGTTCCTGTTGTTGTTGTTGCTGTAGTTGTTGTTGGTGTCTCAGGTTCATACGGGGGAATGAGTTGCTCCTGCCCCAGGCACCGCTCCACGCCCCAAATAAACTGGACTGAATGGAAGCCAGTAGCGTCGGGCGAGCCACCTGCAGGTCCCCCGGTAGAAAAATGGTCAATGAAGGTCGGCAAGCGGGGCGTTCGGAGGGAAGGAAAACACAAGCAGATCGGGTGGTGGACGTGAACGGGAACGAGGACGGGTTCGTGAAACATAGATAACATTTGCCGCAGTGGCGGACATTACGATGCGGATTAGGAATAGGAATACGAAGCACCGTGTTGAGCTCAGGACAGGGTCTTCCTAGCTGACTATTCCCTCCACAACCCATCTGGCATTCGCAGCCCAACCAACGCAGAGCCTGCATCTGCCGCCCCAGCCGACGAACCTCCACAGTCTCGATGTGCTTTATGGCGCCGCCAAGCATGTCGGCGAGGCTGGCAAAGTCAGGGCGCATCTCAGGGTCGAATTGGCAGGCAAGACGCAACACCAGCTGCGCGGAGGTGCGGGTCATGCAACAAGTTATCCAGAGAAGAAGGAATTGAGGAAGCATGGGAAAATAATACGGTAAGAAGGATGTTATTAAACATCAACTGCAGAGGCAGGACAGGATATAGGACACGACCTCCGCAGCCTGCAGGGACATAACCCTACAATACCCAGACGCGCGCTCACCGCGCAACCACCACGTCCAGTCATTCATAGGGTTCATCCAGGTTACACGGCCGTAAGCCCCTGCCAGCCCCGCCGCGCACATTCCTTCAGAAGCAGCCCCAGCCCAGCCCCAGCCTAACCATAGCCATCGTCACCCACCTGAACCTCCTCGTGAATGTTGGAGGGCACCGACGGCGCCAGCTCCTCCGCAGAAACGGCCTGCGCCACCTGCAATGATGGATCCGTGTGGCGAAGGAGGAAAAGGTGAAATGCGGAACAAGCACACCGGAGTGAGATATTGACGAGGGGCAGACAGCAGAGACAAGGAGCAGCGCACCACTACACACGCACACAACGGCATACCTGTACGGGCGTCATGTACGTGTGGCCGTACGGCAAGGCGCACGTGATGCACTCAGATAGTAGCACGCCCCAGCTCCACACGTCGGCCTTGGTGTCGTACACTTCGTGCCTGCGTGCGCGGGAACAGCCGACCGGCCGGAGAAAATGGTGGTGTGGGCGTAGACCCAAACACATCGCCTCCCTCCATTCACAATACAGAATGTTAAGATCAAAGGCGCAAGCCAGCCAGTCACCCATGCGCATGTACCCCGCCACGCCCCTACCCAACCGAGGCAAAAACACACACCAATTACCCCCCTTACTTCTTCTCCGCCATCTCTTTTCATTAACCCGCAATTACTCTTCGCCCACCCAACCACTTAACTAATTATTAATATTATTATAGTTTTCTTCATTCCATACCTTACATAGTATAAACCTTCCCCTTCTTCACTGCCCCCGTTTCTCACCCCCTCATCTCTTCCCCACTGTTCGCCCCCACCCCATCCCCAACTTCCCCTTCCTTCTCACCGCATCACCTCCGGCGCCATGTAAAAGTACGTGCCCGTCTCGCCCGTCAGTGACGCCCTCGCCTCCTCTAGCAGCCGCCTGCTCAAGCCGAAGTCCCCCACACGCGCCACCCCCCGCTGGTCCAGATACACGTTGGCAGGTTTGAGATCCCGATGCAGTACCGCGGGTCGACAGGACTCCAGAGCGCACATGCCCAGGGCCACCTGGGGTTGTACGGCCATGTGGGTTAGGGGCCAATATGCGTGTCGCGGGAGGTCGGTGTGTTGTGAGGATGGGTTTTATGGAGATAACCATCCCGTGAGCATGAGGATGGTATGGGGGGGGGGAGGTGTCCTTTTTCGGAGGGAATTTTGGTCGCAGCAAGTTTCCGACGTCCATAAAGCCCCGCCGTCCTCATCATATGAGCAACACAAGCTGCCATCTGCCTCTCTGCCGTGTGATTTCAACGGCGGCCCTGGCGCGGGCACGGGCGTATGGACGACAAACAAACGAAGGCATATGTGAACACGGGCCGCAACAAGCACATGCACACGCACATGCATGCTGAAGTAAACTCTGGAGTCACCTGGTGCGCCATTTTCAGTCGCTCCAGGAGGGGTTTGACGGGGTTGATGAGCCCGCCGCTCTGAGTACCCGGCGCGGGCAGGCCGCCGGGGTGCAACCAATCACTCAACGTGCCACCCTGGGGGATCGGGACGGATGCGGCGGTGCAGCGTGTGCTGTTCAGACGGGGTCGGAAATGTGGTGGAATCGAATCGACCAAGGCGCAAACAATCACACACAAGCGCACCAAGGACCAAGGAGGCGACCAGGTAGGTAGGTATTTTCGCGGACAGCCCAAAATCAGGAAACCGGAAAGAAGTTGAAAATAAAGCAATAAAGCTCCTTATGGGACCTTGCATGGGATGGTCTCTCCCCATCAACAATTTGGATTTTTTTTGTGTTGTTATAACTTTAGATTGTTGTTGAGGGAAACCTTTTCTGATGAATTTGGAAAGTTTGGGTGGCGCTTGCTGCGTCTACTTATGCTTATGGTGGAGCGCGCACACGCACGCTCACCGGCATGTACTCGGACACCAGGCACAGCCTGTCGGGTGCGGAGAGGCAAGCGCCCAAGAAGGGCACCACGTTGGGGTGACGTATGTACGACATGCTCTCCACCTGCCAGCTCCGAAACCAGGGGCCAAGGGTGGGAAGAGTAGTTAAGAGTTGGGGACGCTCAGACACGTCAAGGGAAAGCAAGCGGGATACACTTACACACAGAGCCAGAGCGCGAAAGGAAAGGAGAGGAAAGGGCCGCATCTATGAAAACCAAATATGGTCTTGCAAGAAATCCTCCGAGCCAGCGCACCATATGCTATTCGCCATTAGCTATTGGCGACGCCACATACATATACACACGCACAGGGATGGCCCCGCTTACGCCCCGCTTATGCCCCGCGGCTCGGTTCATTCATAAACAAAGGGCTGGATCGGGCGCTTTCACGACGCCGGCAAAGTGTGTGTGTGTGTGTGTGTTAACAGAGCCCTCGCGACGTGTGCCCCGCTCTGCACTATTGTTGTTGTTGTTGTTGTTGTTGTTGTTGTTGTTGTTGTTATTACAGCGGGCTTCCAAGTTTCGATACCACGTTTATGTTATGCCTTCTTAATACACGGCTCAGACAAGCGGTCAATACAAAAAGGCAAAAGGGGTGCGTGACATGGTTTCACGACGCTCGCAATGCACGGCAATGTCGTACCTCCCGCAAGAAAGATGTCAGCTCCGCGGCGTGCCGCAGCCGCACCACCTTGATGGCCACGGCCGCGTGACGCCAGGTCCCCAAATACGTCACGCCAAACTCACCCTCGCCCAAAACTGACCCAAGGGTCACCTGATGATGGATTTGGAAAACAATGGGTATTGGAAGGAAGGGCAGCAGATGGCAGCACCGCATGCGGTAACGCACGTGTGCTGAGCAATCGTGAACCACTTGCGGTCGGCGCGGCTGCCGCATCAGTTGAGGCCCCACTTAAGCCGACAACTCACACCGCCGAAACCCCCCATGCCGCCGATGTGCCTCGGAGCCGTACCATTGCCCTGCCCATCGGCCGCTAGTGGTGCTTCCACCCTGCGAGTAATCCTAACGCCTGGGTCGCAGCTCACCATTTCCCCCTCGCCCTTGCGTCAGAAGCCGCCAGCAGAAGCACCCGCGGCTGCCGCTGGCAATGGTCCCACTGCGTCTACCACTGGCCTGCCTCCGTCGCATCCGCCCCCAACCCCGTTCCAGTAACCCCGGGCAAAGGCTCCCTGCCCCGTCCCTTTCCCGCTTCCACCGGTGCCGCCCCCGCCCCATTTCCCTCCACCGCCTCGGCCCAGATCCCGGCTTCATGGCGCACCTCGCTGAGCTGTATGAGCCAGCCCATGGCCTGCCCTCGCCGCACGAGCGCCTCCAGCACCCGTTGTTGGTTTGGCGTAGGGTTGACGACAGGCGACGGGAAGGGTATCCCTGGCCCCGGGGCGGCCTCCCCAACGACCGGCGCGGCGCCACCTTGGCCGTCTGCTGTCGCTGGTGACGATATTGCCGATGCCGACTCGGCGGCCATTGCAGAGCGGGTCTCCGCTGTCGCGGATAGTAAGGAGGCGGGGTAGAGCGCCGCAGCTGCCGCGCGTTGTCGGGCCTGCGGCGTTGGTGCCGGCGTTATTGGGGTCTGGCCAGAAGGTGCCGTGGCGGTTTGGAAGTCCGAGACCGCAGCGGACAGCTGTAGCTGAAGCAGCTCAGCCAGCTGCCGGGCTTCTTCGTCCGCATCTTCGGCGCTGGCGTCAGTGGAGAATAGGGAGGAAACTTCTGGCAGCGGCTGACCGGTGACCTCGGCCAGGGCTCGTTCCAAGCGTGCGATGCGCTTGCGTGCTTGCACAAGCTTCTGCGCTAGGGTCCTTGCGTGCGCTGCCCAGGCATCGCGTTCCTGCTCCGTGCGATCCAGGGTCGATATGTTGTTTTCAAACTGCGCATACAGCATGGCGTTGACGCGTGCTGCTGCCTGGATTCGCTCCTGAATGGCCAAGTCTCTGCATTTTAAGTCGCGAATAGAATTCGCTATGAGCTGCAAACCCTTAAAATACGCTATGGAACCTCTCAGTTTGCAGGCGGGTCTGTTTGGTACCATTTGCTTCACTGCCGAGCGCACGGGGGCAGAACCGCACCAGGCTCACCTGCTCGTGCCATCTGTCTCAATGATCGCAACATCTTTAGAGACCGACGACGTCATCCCTCGAGGGAACACCCTGCAACCCTACGTTGCAGGCACAAGGCGCGCAACGAGGCACTAGGCAAACACCCGTCTAGCCGCTGTGACATTCCGTAAGTAAGGCTTGCACATCAAGCAAAGATTTGGTAAATCCTTCCAACGGGGTTTACCCGCGATTTCAGCTGGAAAGTGCAATTTAAAGTCTTGCACAACTAGCATGACAGTCTGCGGAAGAGAAATTGATGCCAAAATTGTGAAATAAGAAATTGAACAATGACCTGAGTTACAATCGCCGATGCACGTGATCCGCGCTATGGTGTACGGTCATCATCGCACACGCAGCACACACAGAACCACGATAGCAAACACAAACGACAACCCCGACAGCTGCAGCTATCATTTTTTCGCGAACCAATTGCCAGCCCCAAACATTATCCCTAACTTGAGCACAGCTGCCAAGACCTCCTCACCCGCCACTTTGCCCGTCTCCCAAAATTTGCCATCTCCGCTGCATAGAAATGCCGGCAACAGCCGGCAATAGCCCTCATCCTCTTGAAGTGAACAACTGCCCTTATCCTCACAACCCATCGCCCTCACAACTGTTTAGACTTTTTGGGCTTCAACAGCAGTGAAATCGTCCAGTAGTAGTTGAGGCCGGTCAAGGCTGTCTGGAAAATCGGCGTCGTGAGGATGGGATTCCAGCGGGTGCCACAAGCCAAAGTCTCCTTTTGCCATTCCTTGTAAAACACCCAGATCAAGTACCTGTCAGCATGCCCCGCCGCGGAACGCAATGAGATAAGAGGCAGCAACGATGCACAGGCGATCGATGCCGTCGGTTTGGGAAAATGTCAGCTCGGCGAGGCGGGAAATCGGGAAATGAAGGCTCTTTGCCTGGCAAAGCACCTTTTTGCCATCATAAAACAATTTGCAATAAGCGCAGGACCCCAGCGCACTGTCACACCTTCCGAATGCACGTGTGACATGTCAGCGCACGCACGTGCCTTCTCTCTCCCTCCACACAAAAAAGCGATCCAAAAAATAACAACCCAGCACTCACGGGTAATATATGTTGCGAAGCAGAACCCAAGTGACGTAAAATAGCGCCTCCAGGATGGGAGACCGCACGGTGCGCTTGGCGATGAGCAGCCAAGTGTTCACCTAGGGTGCGTCCCGTGCGTGTGTTGGAGGGGCTTAATGGCGATGAAAAGGTAATTGCATCGCCGCCGGAGAAGAATCTAGGTAGGCGGAGATGGAGATGAAGGAAAGAATGAAGGACAGAGCACCAAATTTTCACCAGCCTACAATTGTGCATGCCGTAGTGATGCAGTGGGGGCAGGGACTCCTAGTTTAACTGCAACGGCCACCCCTGCTGCGATCTGAATCGACCTAAACCTGGCTCGATTTGGGTTCTAAAACCTTTGGGGCTTAGGCCAGGATCGTCCTTCTGGCTCAGCAGTTCGCCCGCTCTTGCACTCCCACACACGTACCCGCCCAACCCAAGTGACCCACCTCAACAAGCATGCAATACGACATGCACCACTCGTACTGCGGGTAGTGGTACGGTATGAGCACGTACAGCGCCGTAATAACGTGATGTGCGAGAATGACGAGGGGGGACTTCACGGATCGAGGTACGACTCCTACGTAGATCTGTTCGAGGGCGGAGGAACCAGAAACAAAAAAGCGGCGCGGCCGTCAAAGTGCAAATACGGACAAAAAAGAGTGCACGTGCGCTTGGGGGTATCGGATGGGAGCAAGCGAATGAGGGCCCTATGATAGACTTCTCAGCAGCGCATGCCCCAGGGTAGATCCGTAGGACAGGAAGTTCAAAGAAGGTCAAGGCAATGGTGATACCCTGGCTGATATACGTTCGCTCTGGGGTTGCAAGAGAGAGAGAGCGTATGTATGTGTATGTGTGTGTGCGCGCGCGCGTCGGGCGCTTGTTTCCATAGCTGCCGCGCATCGCATCGCAGACAACGCTATACCAGCGAACACGTCGAGTAACCGCCTGGAAAAAATCATTTGTCTCGTCCAATATTTGCTGCTTCAACGTCCACATTTTCCCATACACGCGCGGTGGCAAGGAATGGCAAACGATGTAGCCTGGATGGTTCATATCTGTTTCTTACACCCGTACAGCTCGTGCAGGCGGTTTCAGTGCTGTAACGCGCACCAGGTCCGCAACGAAGTACAACATCGTACTAAGGTAGAAGATCTGGAAGCCCCGGCCAGTGGCCAGGTAGTAAAAGTTGCTGGCGTTGAGCCAGGCGATGCTGATGAGGTTGAAGATGTCCTGCGTTGGGCCATACGTGAACACGAAGGAATGGAAAAACAAGTGCTGAAACGAATCAACGTGGAAGAAAAAGGCTTAGCTAAGGCCTTGGCATCGGTATTGTGGGGGAGGGGGAGGTTGGAAGCTGGGGTCCATAGAGGATGGTTCCAAAACCGCATCACGTTCCCCATCTTTAGTACAACACAGCGGCTGTGACGTTAAGGCGGAACGCAGGATAATGTTTGGCTGGCGCGAATCCAACTGCGATTGGTGACGCTGTGCGTCGGGGCGTATCTGGACGACGGGGGCGTGCAAGGGGAATCGCAGCGGCATCAAAATGCAAGTGGAGGTGCTATCCGAGGAAACAATCTATAGGTTAAGTAATTATAGCTGATGCCGCCTACGTTTGGCATACAGTTGCCCAGGCCGGGTCGCGGTGCTTACGTGATACACGACAACCGGAGGCAGCTTATCGCTGGACATTTTGGAGCTGTCTCTGGAAGCCTTTCGAGCCGCCGATGAACCTAGTAACCCTGATGGCCCCTCCACATGCCTGGGCTTTGCAAGGACCTGGGCATCCGTTGACGCCATTGCTTCACCTGACAGGTAGATGCGCACAAAGGTCAAATCGACCTAGATTCAGAGATGCTGTATATACAATGTGGTAAGGGACTGGTATTCATACTAGCCGGCTATACCTTGCAGGCTCCGCTGTTAAATACCTCGCCTGCTTTGCAAGATAAGTAACGGCAGAACGGTATGCGATAACACAGTAGCTACAACTGCTTGCTAAAAATATTTCCACAACTTTCCCTTAGCAATCCTTAACCCGGCTAGGCAAATGCTTCATTGCCTTTTGCGCGTTTTCATGAACCTACAAGGTTAACCAGTCAAAAAGCTAACAAATAGGACAGATTCTCATAATTAAGGTAAAGGCAAGGTTAACACGACAGTTACCCTAACAGGTGAGCATCAGTAAAGAGGATGATGCGGATTTTTGGATGGGATACCAACTGAAAGGAACAGATCCTTTTTCATTTCATTACAACGTAAGCAACCTCAGACGTTTCGTACTGGAGACTTTTGCTACACAGGCATGCTGCGGACAGTTCTGAATCCAGACACTCATACAACCCGGACCTGAGTCCGGCCTGTACGACTTGCTTTTCGGCGGTTTTGATTCGTTAGGTATTAACCTGGGTAACCATACCCATCCATCTACGCTTCATATTATGTGTGTTGACAACTAGCGCGGGCTTTGGTGCTTTAATCCGGCTCTATCTCGAGGAATTTGTAACACCCTGTATGCTGAGGCTTTCCAATTCGCTTGTGAGCTCGCGAGATGCCAGGCCGGCAGCACTTTCATCGTCATCATGGAATGGAGGGAGGGATGTATGTACGGAGGGAGGGAGGGATGTATGTATGTATGGAGGGATGTATGTATGTATGGAGGGAGGGAGGGATGTATGGAGGGAGGGAGGGATGTATGGAGGGAGGGAGGGATGTACGGAAGGAGGGTTTTAGGGTTTTAACACCGTCACATGCCTCCATCCGGCTCAGATGCAACAGGGGAAGGTCCACGAACAGGGCATCAATCAAAAGGCAGTACAATCCAGGTACGACACATGCCACCCGAATGAGAAGAAAGAGGGGAGGGAGTTCGTGTACCACCAGCTCAGAGCTGGCCAGGGCTCTTAGCAAGTTGACTGCCCGGCTAGGCAAAACCCCTAAACCGATCGCGGGATAAACTACACTCTTGCAAACTCACAGCACTACGACACACGTACCACGGCACAAACACGGCGGTTTCCTCTCCCGGCATCAACTTATCAAGGCCATGGCAAGGTAATCCGCGTCCCAAGGTTACATTACCCCTCTTCCTCAACAGTTCCTAATCAGGCTACACCTCCCCCACCCACCTACAAATACTGACCCCCCCCGCGAACCAGTAAACAGTATAGCAGGAGGCCCAACGTGGAAGACATACAGCACCAGGAGCAGACAAATGTGCAGACAGACATATCGACGTTACAAGCAGAAAATCCAAAAGAGGAGGACGCCTATACACCGGATATATAATGTCAAGGTCCCGCCACAGAAGCTCTGCGTCCCCGCATCTCAGCTGCCCGGAGCAGCGGGAGCCCGCGGGACGACAGCAGCGGCTTAACGACCAGACAAGGTCCGCCTCCTTCCCGTCTAAGGCCGCCGCCTTTCCGACCCATGCCCTCACGCGATTAACACTTGCGACATGACAGGATGGAGGCCACGTACTAGGAGACGAATGATGTACGACGACTTCGCTGCGGGATACAGTCTCGTCTCAGCTTGCTAGAGTTTCGGAGGTTTCGGACGGCTCAGTACAAGACAGATTACCGTTGCATCGCGAGGAAAATCAGCAGCACGCCTCAATGAAGCGCATATGAGCCCCCCTACCCATCATCCTGACGCACCTAGCACCCTATAAAGCTATACTGGCGCGTTCCTAACGCCTATTTCGTGCGTTCCGCTTGGATTGGCTTATTTAAACACGCCGGGGCCCAAAATCCGCCAACGACGAACGCCCGGGGCAACCTCAAAGCTTTTCGATAAGGGATAGCTAGGAGGCATATCGTTTAACTGAGCCTTCGGAGCCCGATAATGACTCCGCGTGCTGCTGCTGTCAGCAAGCAGCTTCACTGTTGGCTGCCGGCCTATGATTTCAAAATCGTTGAGGCGGGACCCAGATACGCAACGCAACTCATCCCAGGTTGCCGACCGCACAAGCCGTAAAACCCACAAAACCATTCTTAACGAGATGCACGTTACATCTGCCAGAGCTTCTTGAAATTTCTCCCCCTTGGACCAGCTGATACAGTCGCCCCTCTTGGCGAGTCCATGAACTTACAGGCCGGGAGTTCCCAAGTCAACGGAGCGGTGACGAGCTCAACGGGGCTTCTGCGACATCTGCTCCACGAACTCTGCTCCTTTCACCCATGCCGATTCCCCAGTAGATATGAGCCAGGTTACTGCGTAGCGTGCGTAATCGTTGGAGATGGCTTCCGGTCGGTACGTTACCGCACCTTTACGCTTCAGCGCGCCAACAACCAGAGCGCTGATGGCTACCTGGGCAAGCACAAAACTAAGGGTACCCATCACGTTCAGGTTTGCAATGGCACAAGGTACTGCAGAAAAGGTGATGGAGTCCCTATGCCCCCTAAGATGGAGAACGGTAGGAACTTGAGCCCTTCGGAATCAGTTGCAACTTTCAGGCTCTCATCGCCCGCACAAATACTACCTCTTTCACAGGGAAAATTATAAAACAGACAGAGGTCCGTACGGCACGACATCGGTGCTGAAGAAGCGATTCTGCCTTGCAAATTCGTTATATCCCACAAGGTATTTAGATGGAATGACTTGAGTGTCCTTCTGTAAGTTGACAGACTACGGCTTTTTATGTTGTAATTTTTACGGGTTCCCTCCATGGTCCAAATTCAGCGCGTTGCGCTATATCCCAACGCTACATTTCACATTGCTCTACGGAGAGTCTTTGGACTAGGAAGGTCTACCAGTCTTCAGGTCGCCGAGGTGCGCGTGTGCCTAGGACCCTTCTTGCCCCCTGTGCTCTCAGCCCTTACAGCTCCTATACAGTAACGCTGCCGTGCCAATTCGCAGGCATGCGGCATTAGTAAGGACCTTAAGGTGAGCGGTGGGGTTCTGGGAAGTGGTGACATTCCGTTCTGGGCGCTGCTGGGACATTCCCATGTATGCTATTGTTTTATGACTAGCCGCGGGGCCGCTAAGGAGCGTGACGACGGCATGGCGGTCGTAACCCCCAGTGGTATGCGGGATCCATCACGCACACAGCAGCTGTCGGGTACTTCTTGAGTCCTTTCTGGAGTTTGTGGATTTCTGCTCATGTTCTGCATGTGTGTTACACATATGGGATACTCAGGGCTGCTGTAAGTCGGATTACGTACAAGAAACGCAAACCTCGTATTCTCTAGTCGTATTGCTGTACCGGCATGGATAGGGTAAGAGAAGTTGGGGCTTGCGTTTCTCGGACGTACGGCTGTGAAGTACCGTACCATACCGTACCGAGCTGTTACGCAGTGATGCACAGCCGGCGCGCACCCAGGTGGCTGGCTCCAGGGTTGGTGTCGGGTACCTGACATCTGACATCACCCCCTTCCCCGGGAAGGGGCTGGGGGGGATCCTCTGAACACCTTCAGGCATGGTCGCTAGGGTTCCAAGTGAGAAGTTTCTATTAGGTTCTAGGGCTGCGGAGCAAGGTTATTTGATGGCCGCTAGCTCACACAGCCATTATAACAACGAGTTCGCGCCCGCGCTGAGATCATTTATATAATTCATACTGCAGACTTCCATTTGGGGTTTGGAAGGTGGGAACACCGAATTTGCGTGTGTTAGTGCAACCCATAAGTACGCGTTTCTGTGGATTTAGACATTGCGTAATGATGAGAAAGCAGTCTGACAGCGGGAACAAACCCCCCGCACCCTCATGTGCTTGGTTTGTTGTTTTAGGTAAAGGACATCAAGGAGACCTATTTGCAGAAGGTTGCGTCTTATATCGAGGCCAACTTCGTCACAGGAGATGCTCTGCGGAGGCAAATCCGCGAAAATGTCGCGGCGGAGGTGGCCATCAACTCGCAGCGCGGGATGCATCACATGCAGTTGTCGCGGCAGCCCAAGGCGGGGATGATACGTAGCCCGCTTTTTGCAAAAGGCGCGAAGCGCTGATGAGCATGTGCCGCGCCGAGGATTGTGTCCTGCGTGATATGTTGCGGTCTTCCATTTGGGTGTTCTTTGTGTTCGCGTCTCGGTGTGCGGAATTTCCAGGGAAAGACGGTATTACTGCAACTTTCCCGCTCTTTCCAGGGCTGTACACGGAGACCCGGAGCGTGCGGAGCATATGACGGCTGATGTCGCTTTGTAGTCGGTGGCCTGCGCCCTGGAGGCGGGCTCCGTGTGTTAGATTGTGGTTCCAGATGGACCCATGTCCTGAAGGGCGTGACCGTAAGGCTAGGCGCGTGTTTGTACATGGTGCAAGGCCGAATTGTGGCCGAGGTTGCAGTGGATGGGTTTGTGATAGCTACTTATTATACCTTTTCCTTTGTAACCCAACTTGGTTGCTTGGTGCGGCTATTGTTCTCAGGCGAACGCCTGTCGGATTTGCGCCGAGCTATTAGGACATTGTTCAAGCGCTCACCTTCGTAATAACAAACTTGTACTAAGTTCCTGAACTTACCAGTTAATGGGACCATGCGATGATGCATTTAGAGCTCGAACCGCGCCGTTGGCGGCAACCAACTATACGACCCGTACGGCCGGCCGCCGGAGAGCCGGTATAAATTACCAGGATGCTTGTACTCCGTCAGAATGTCGAGTTTCAAATGTGCTAAGGTTATCTGGAAATCTATAGCCGCTATAACCATAGACAAGGCGTCTAGCCCTCCTTGGCTCACGGCTATTGGAGGTAGCATGCCGAGGATGGTTCATCTTGCATTGATACGGTTGCCTTAATCTGGCATGATGATAACCATGATTTTTTAACGGTAAGTGGCGGCTGCTTTTCACAAGTCTTGGGAGGCCAGCGGCCTTTGCCTGGAAAGCTGCACGGCGTAATAATCGTCATTCAATTACAAGTAACCCTGCAAGATATAATCTGGCTTGCGTTGCGAGTGGATGTGCCAGTGATGACCTAACTATCCATGCTAATTCTGAAATTCTGTGAAGAAAGTTATCTTCTCATCCTGATTCTCTGAGGCCTATACTCGCGACATCCGGAAATGCAGTTGTCAGTAGCCCATGGGATCTGTTCCTGACTTTACCCGTGGCACCTCGACCCTATCCCTCCCTCCCGTTTTAGGAGTGGCGACTTATATCAAGGGCGCTTCCTTGCCACTGGCACTGCCTCGTCCTACGTGGTAAGTTGCGGCTACGAGTCGGTTTATCATGATCTCCACGAACACAATCACAACGGAGGTTGATGTATGGTTCCCCGGGGTTGCGTTGTCGGCTTTGTGGCCGATGTCCGAGGGAGGCCGCCGTGGTGCAGTGATGATTAAATCCAGTAAATGCCAGTTCTGCTACTGACATTTTTTGATGAGAATGCTGGACGCATTATCTGAGCACCATAGACGTAGATGTTCAGGTAGTTCATGCTGCGTTTTCATGAGTTTGTCGACGGCTTGTGATGAGACGATTTCTCATTCATGCGTGTCAGCTGAGGGTCGGATCAGGCGTCATGTCTGTTTCCGCCGCTGATTTTATCCTAATCTTCTCTCTGAAGCCAGCAGCGGTTTTATGTCCTGCTTTCACTCGGATGTCCTATTGCATTGCCAGTTGCCTAATGTACTCGCCTACTGTGCTAGTCTTGCATGGTTTGTGCGTTGCGGCCTTTGATGTGCAAAAATATTTGCTACTCTTGAGCGTGACAATGACGACGCTAAAATCACCAAGATCTCTGAGGCCGCGTTTCTTACGTCTGCATGTTTGCAACACAGTCGTCCACTTTTTGTTTGTGCACATCTTACGGGATTTAACATGTAGGCCTGTTGTCTGCACTCCTTTCCTTGCAGGTGAGTTCAGACGTACGCTCCTCAGCCTACAAGTTTTGTAAGCATGGTTGATAAAATGCCTTGTGTCGATGTTTACTGTCCGAGCTGCCGGCATAAACTTTTATGGGCGCTGTCCTATTGTGTAGCACCCTTTTCTCGGAGAATTAGTCTTTGTGCTCTATGGAAGCAGCGGGCTTTTTCAATGTCATCGGTTTGTGTTCGTTGTGTCGCTTTCTTGTTTCGGCGAACCAAGTTTCAATGGCCGTTTGTCGGTTGGCTGAATTTGGCGGCTATGCTTCCAAGTCGGCAACAGCAGTATCCCGAAATTCGTTACATTAATGTAAAACACGCGCCCAATCTTTGCCCTTAAGCCTCAAGTAGTTAACGATGTCCTGGTTCTCCTAAAGGGGGTACCCTTGAGGTATACTCCCTAGTCGCACTCCTCCCTGCAAGATTCCAGCAACAGCAACAGCCCGATCAGTTTCTTCAGCATTTAACTGAACTAGCCAGGTTCCTCGGATGTCTGGGAGATCCAGCATGTTGCTCTAAGGCGCTGCGTAATCGAGCGGACGAGGGAGAACGATGATGGCCCACCATGTAACCGCGCCAGAAACGAATTACCGTCAATGCCCCCCGGCTTGTACGGACACCCACGCACTTGTGGGGAACTTATAACCCATACTTTAGCACAAGGTAGTAGGTGATGCACATGGGCTCCTTGTAAGCGGAATATCATACTGTGCTAAGTGATCCGTGGACTTCTTACGGCCCCTGGAGCGGTTGGTCGCAGCCACTACAAAGAATCGACTACCGCACTGGGACCAGCACGGCCGAGTCTGTGGATGGATTAACTGTGGCATCGCCTGCCCAACCGTACCAATCGTTGCCATCTTGTAAACCATAATAACCAAAACCATTGAAGGTATTAAGGTTGTTTCCACTTGGATTCACTTGGTTTCGCATTCCTACCGTTTGCAAACCCAGGCAATTACTTTGGCAAACGCAGACAATTACACGTGCATTATTACGTTTGACGTGAGGTGGCGCACTGCCCAAATGGGGCCGAGAGTGAGTTTGACAATGACAGCTGGTCGTTACGGGTGCAGTCGGCAAACTAGACAAACGTTGCCATTCCCATTTCCCAGGAGAGAACCGTCCGTAGGTGTTGAAATGGGAGGTGGCCCCCCATCTTGTGGACGGTGTAGGACATGATCAAATCAACTTGCGAGCTGACCAGGAACTAAGTTGACGCGCCGTTGATCCGCTAGATTTGATTGGATGCTGGTGGTGAGTTGCCAAACTCAAAGAGTACACTCTGAAGTCGGATGGGGTGAATGGATTAGGGTGCGCCTCTAGCAGGGGAGAGCAGGGAACTGCCTCGGGAAGGAGGCCACTGGTGAAGCTTAACCACCCTGTAACAACATCAACGGGGAGTGGCCAGCCGCTGAACGGGGGCGGCCGGAGCCAACGCCAAGCTCGCGGCTTTGCTACAGAGAGAGCGTGGGGGTCTAACAGGAATCAGACCAAGTGAACCTAGGCTCCAAGTGCGCGTCCAGATTCCGACATCGCCCGACCCAGGTTCCAGTGCCCGGCTGTCACCAGACACGGCATGTAGGGCAGGCACTGACGTCCGCTGCGGTGACTGCATTTCCGAAAGTGACCCCCGCCTGATGAAGCAGACTCTTACGTGATGCGACGGTTTTGCGGACGAACTTAAAGTATACCTCCCGCCACCACTAGCGTGTGGGAGTTCGCGTCCTCAGGCCCATCATCCTCATTGGTGTCCGAACCCTCACCCGATGATGCATCCTCCTCACCCACGGCATTCACATCATCATGTATACTATCAGTACATAAATACTCCTCTACGGGGCCTTCGTCTTGCTCAGGTTGCGAGATGAAGATCCCGTAGAGGAGTGCCCTTGCGTGTCGAGCAAGGGCACATGTTCTTTGGTGGCGACGTTTTCCGCAGTATCTTTCTGTGCCTTCGCTACTATTTCTATCTTCTTAAGGGCAAGTTTTGGTTTCGATGGCTTCTTGGCTACGGGCAAGTAAGGGTTGATACCGCTGTACATGACAGCACGATTACGGCCCAGTATACACGAATAACATTCCTTTATACTGGCGGACAGCACGGGGGTATGGATTACAGGGAAGGAACGGTTCGGGGAGTACGGTTTGCACCGTCGTTCATCATTACACCTGATAAGCTTGCAGCTATTCCAGCATCAGAACGTTTTGGAGCTGCTGAAACATTACCAAACAACATTTCAAATTGCTGCGGTGTTGACGGGGAGGGTTTACGTTCCCCGTGTGAGGCCTTGCGGTGTTCGTTTTGGGGTCTCCATTCCATGACTCTCACGTGCACGGGGACCGGTCCACAGCTCAAGGAACGGATTGAAGTACAACGATTGCCATTCCGTACAAAAAATGCAAAAACGAGTACTGCTGGACATTAACAGACTATCGAGTATCAACATGAAGGCCTTGCAGCACATTTGAACGACACCCACGGTGTGGTGCATAATGCCGAACAAGGAGCGCAAAGCTTCCCACAAAACTAGGAACACTTACAGCCGTTATAAAGGATAACCTTCCAAGCTGTCAATCAGGTTTCTTATAAGGCGTTGTAAAACGTGTTGATCCGAGATTGTCAATTTGATACTTGGTGGCCACCACGTAGCAAATTTTCCCCACCGAGTTTGAGCTTTAGTATAGGAAAAATGTGCGCATTCTGTAACATGTTAATCTACGTTAAACCCACGAAATGCGCGAATACAGGCGTAGATCATTAACTAATCCCGCCAATCTTAATCCGCCTAATCCGTCCTGATCCGCTTGATGTTTCCTTATGCGACGGGTTAAGCCTTAATCCGTGATTTTTGATCCAAGTGGAAACAACCCCTGAAACTTATGAGATTGGTCAAGCCCGGTACAGTACGGAAGACTTCAAAATTCCCACCTTGAATCCAAACTAGGCAACTCTACCGTGTTCAAGCCGTCATCAAATACCGTGGCAAACTACTTACTATAGCTCCTTTATCCTGATGGCCATCATGAGAGGAAGCGGGCCTGAAGTGCACGTCCAACCTGGAGGTGTTGCCTTCCAGGAGCCCATCTGGGCTGCGACTCACCTTAACTCACTTTAATCCAACCGAGGTAGCTGATTGTTTACAGTAGCTTTTGAAAATCATCGCTTAGATGGATATTGGGCTGCGGCCCAAGAAACGCATCCTTCCATCGGAAGGCGAGGAAGTCCAGCCCAAGTGCCGTAAGGTTTTCGGTCATGCCTATCCCAGCCAAAGATCACATGATGGAGAAAGCAGGGGCGATTTAGCATCCGCACTGCCAAGCGGGGGCTTGAAAGCTGGCCATGCTAAGGTTGATGCGAACGCCCGTGAGCCCATCCAGAGGGCCATCGTGGACCTCACCCTCAACGCCGCTAACGAGAAACTGTATGGCTTATATAGCAACAGTACTGATGATGATGACTTTTGCGAGATTGTCAGCGGTCCTGCAGCTGCCGGTCCAGCGAAGCCGGGAGCAGCAACGCGGCGAGCTGCAGCAGCGCCACCACCAGTATGGGACCTCACCACTGAGGCTACAGAAGACAGCAGTGATTCCCTCCTGGAAATCTCGGAACCGGACGCGGATACCGGCACATCCACTGTTGCTCCTGCTGCTGCTGCTGCTGCCACCATTATGCCAGTAGCTGCTCCAGCACCGGCCCCAAGATCCGTCGCTGACGCAGTTACAATCACAACCTCAGCCAGAGCCAGTCCCAGCACCCGCACAGGCATTTGCCCCGTCTGCCAGGCCGACGACCAAGACGCCGTACAACGCGAGACTATGCGCGCCGCGGAGCGCCAGCTCAGCGCCGGAACCACCGTAGCTTTGCTGGCGCCCGGTGGAGCCACGTCAGCGGCGGTGGCGGAGGCCGCCGCCGCCGCCGGGCCGCAATGCTGCGCCAGTTGCCGCTACTGTGCGGCGCTGGCGACGGTAGAGGCAGCTCAGCACCAAGTGTGTTCCATCGTGGCCCGGCACCCCGCGCATGGGGGCCTGCGGGGCTGGGTGTTCGAGGTGCACCATGCGGCGTCGTTCAACATCGAGGCCCTGCGGGTCGGCTCGTCGCTGAGGTCGGTCAGGTCGGGTAAACGGGGGGGGGGGAAGGGACTCCTCTCATCCAAGTGCGTGGGCTGCATCAGGGGCTTCCTTTCATGTCCTCCCATGTGGTTCGGTTTTGGCCACCGCAAGTGGGTCGGACGGCGCCGGGTTTTAGTCTCGCTCATTTGAGCATCTCCGCACTGATGTGCCGCGGACATTGCCGCTGACAACACATGGCTTCTCCTCTTCCTCTTCCTGTGTGCACATTGCACATGTACATCGCCTCTCTGATGTTTCGTTTCCAGTATGGTTGTCCTCTGTAGCTGGAGAGGGAGCATAATTTATACAAGCCATGTGGAGGGGAGCGGCTAGGGAGCGTTGAACTTTTCGCGTCAAGAAGGGCAAGAGGGAGGAAAGTGGGAAAAAGTTAAAAGGGATAGTGTTTCATCCTTGTATATTAATATGTTTCTACATCTTATGTATTTGTTTATTTTTTAAACTGTTTTGGACAGCTGAGCTGCCATCCACACGGCAATATATATTTCCACAAATCCTATGGGGCCTTCTAGGGCCGAGCGCATTGAGCTGGGCGGCGCGGACATCCGCGTGTACGACATCACCGACCCACGGGTCACGCTAGCCCAGGCGCAACTCAAGGCTTGCATCAACCCCAAGAACCTTCGCAAGCTCAACCACCCGAAGTACGCGGGTTTGCTTAAGGTCGTGCTGCTCGGCTTTGAAACCAAGGACGGCAGGCGTTCATCAGTGCTGTCGTACAGAGGCGTTTCTTCGGCGCCGATCAGCAATGCGGGTCTAGAGGCGGCTGTACGACTGCCGGGCGACCATTTTTTCGGACTCATGTGGATCAAATAAAATGATTGGGTTGGATGCTAGGCGATGCCGAGTCTGTCTGGGCGTGGCTGCTGCTATAGATACGTTTTTGGGTCTTGTGCAGTTTAACTAACATTAGCACACAGTGGCGGAACCAGAGGATTGGACTTACATTTTTACGAATGGATAGGATTCACGATCGACAGATAGATTGGTAATAACATTCCCTTGAACCATGGTTTGACTGGAAATAATTATTTACATCGCTTGCAGCTTCACGCGAAGTGACCTCTCTCATCAGCCCAAAGACTAGGTGTGTGTTCCTCGTGTTCCTGTGTTGGTTTCCCTTTTTTTGCTTCTGCATTTTCTTGCGTGTTGATTGCTGGTTTGAGTATTAGCATCCTGGGTACAGGATACTTTGCAAAGGGTTTTGTTGTTTTGTTATCACTCCGGGAATTTGTTTGGCACATTTTTAAGCACACACTCTTTGCTCCGTCGACGATGTGTGTGCTTAGTTTGCGTGTGCTAGGTAACATAAGGCACATATCACAGCACAACACACGCGAATCATGCACAACCAGGAAGGGTTTGTTTCGACACCTGTTATTGGGGTTTAGGAGTTCATCCTCGGAAAGTCCGCTGTGAAGCGAGGCTATGAAACGGTCATTGTACGGTAGAAAAATATACGCGGGGATTGCGGGCTAGGCAGGCTTCACTTCGCGTAAGAGCATCTGATGTTTGTTGCCGCCCTTCGTCGGCTGTCCATTTGCAGGTATGACGTATGATTTATCCAGCAGAATGCGATTATTACAGTGGACCCCGGTCGGGTCGAGTAGATAAAATAGTAACTGTGCGCACATTTTACGTATGCCAGTGCTTCAGATGCCCCGCCGGGCAGTGAAGCTCCTCGTTGAAGTCATTCGTTGAAGTTTTTGAGTACACATATTGCACGAGCTCTGATATGTGCGTGTTTTGCATACTCCTCTCAACGTTTTTGGCAGTTTTATTCGTTAACCTATCCGCTTATCCCTGCGGTCGACCCGCCTGTGCAAACCGGCCGCTTCGGCCACGTATTGCTTCCATAACTGCTGCTGCGGCATCTGCTGCTGCTACGTTGCTACTACTGTTACTGCTGGTCAGATCACGTTTGTCGCTGTGGATGTATACGTTTTTTTATTACCATATACGCTTCTTGTGTCACCTCCCGCCCTCTACCGCCACTATCGACTTGTGCAAAACCACGTGGCGGCGGCACACGATGGTGCAGTTGTTACTTCATTGACTATCCGTTTTTGTTGGATCTGTTGTAACTAACTTTGTAATTTTTCATGTTGATTGGTTTTACATAAATATTGGTTCAAATGTCCGTGCGGCACCTTTTCCGCAATGCCCCAAGACCTCCGCCGAGTTGTTGTTGCTGCTGCCAAACATGTCTGCAGTGCCGCACTGCACTGGAAGCAAGCTCAAATAAATTTACACAAACAGAAACCGTTGTGCGAGTGTTCACCTACCTTCGTACGAAGCCTCGCGTCATGTTTACCCGCAGGAAAAAAGGCCCAAACCAAAAGTGCACCAGATACAAAGCCACAAACGAAAAGCAGAGATGGCCCACGCAAACAAGAAATTCAATTTGGTCCGTTTCACTATTTCTTCCCCTCTACGTGAAACAACATGAAAAAACAATAATTCCCCCAGGCCGTGCCTGCCTACCCCACATCTTCCTTCTCCCCCTCCTCCTTCCCTGCCTTTCCCGCCTAAACCTCTTCGCTGCCCCCTTCCAATGGTTTAGTGTGTCTGATAGCCCCTCGTGTCACTTCTCCTCGGCCCCCATCAACCGCTCCACAGGCATGGAACTCTACATCTCTCCCTTTCCTGTCCGCTTCGGGTCAGCAAAGTACACAGCCAAAGTTCAATGCTCTCACAAAACACCATCACCTCACAAGACACAGCGCACATATCAAAAACATTACAAATCACACGCGCACACGCACACATACATACACACATACATACACACACATAAACACACACATACTCGCGCTGCCGCTATATTTTCGACAGCGCAGGACCAGCCCCCATTGTGAGCAACACCTTGCCACGAACTCGCCGGTCTAAAATGGCGGCGAAGGCCTCCGTTACGCGCTCCATTGGGTACCTGCCGTACACGTACGACATGGCGTACATTAGGATATTTGCCCTGATTAATATATGTTTATATGTTTATCGTCAAGACAAAAAGGCCACAATGGGTGTCACAATGAGTGAACCGTAGGCCTGTAGCTTCAACAAAGTACGAGGGCACGATAGTGGTGGTCTGTGTGTCAGTGTGTATATTTCGCTCCCCATCGCGATGGATAGCGAGAGGATAGATGCTGATTGTGTGGGAATGACTGCGTGGGGACCCTAAACCAGGATCCAAATCCAAATTGAAAATTAAATCCGGATTGCGCAAATCCCTAGGTTGAGAACGGAATCTCCCTCAGGATCTCCCTTCTTCCCGCGCCCCACACATTTCCACGGACACCGCGACAACACCGATGCCATCTACCAAAGCTCCCCCCATCCGCACACACGTCCCCTCGCCCACCTGTCGTACACCTCAACTCGAAGACGTCCCTCACCAAACCACTTCAGCACCTGCTGCATCGACTCCGCCAGCACCTTGGGCCGGTACGACATGTACGAACCCCAAAACACACCGTGCATGGTGACGTTCTTGACCAGGAGCAGGTTGGCGGGCACCTGCACCCAGCAGGATGCGAAAAACGCGAGCAAGGTAGGTGGTTATAATTCCCGTTTTTTCCGAAGAAGAATCTGTTTTCCTGCCGCAATGCGTGGGCGGCAGGCAACGAAAAAGTAACCCCTACTTTTCGACTCTCTAACGTCACCCGCCCCCAAACCGCCAAACCCCAGTCCACTGGAAGACCTGGAAGGATGAAAAGAAAAACGCTCCCAGCCCAGGATGCCTCCGAAACCCGCTACCCGCCTTCCAATAGGTGCACATCTTTCGTGATCCGTACTGTACGTCTTTTGTACGGAAATATTTCATCTGGGTCCTCCAGCTCCCAACCCTAAACCCCTAAAGCCCCTAAGATATCCCCCCCATACCCCAGTACCTGACTACCTCACCTTGGGGATGTCACCGCCCGCAAAGCCAATGACCAGGTACTGGGCCCCCCAGGTCACCACCTTGAGCGCCTCAAACAGGGAGGACCCCCCCACCGGGTCGAACACCACATCCACACCTGCGTGCGAGTGCAAGCGCGTGTATTTGTGTGTGTGTGTGTATTTGTGTGTGTGTGTGTGTGTCAGTGTGTGTCAGTGTCAATGTGTCAGTGTGCAAGTGCGTGTATTTGTGCGTGTGTGTGTGCGCGCGCGCATGGTTCTGAATCTGCTCCGCAAAAAGGAAGGAAATGGCAAGTGCGTGGGCGCGTGTGAGAGCATGTGAATGTGAATGTGTGTTTTTGGAATTAGGAGGGGTCGGGAGGAAAGGTCGGGAAAACGCGACCCGTGGGTCACATGGGGCTCTTCCTAGGCCCTGGGGGAAGGCGATGAAATAACCGGACATATGGATCGGGGGGTCATGAAGAGGGGCACCAACCGGGGTATGCCGTCCGTTAGCATGTCTGTCTGTCTGCCAGCCTGTCAAACAGCCTGTACACACAGCCACACCCCTCCCACTTCCGCTACCATTCCCGCCTTCCTGCTTTTCCCCCTGCTTTTCCTCCTCCAGCAACCCCCACCCCACCCGCCCACCCACCCTTGGGTGCCGCCGCCCGCAGCGCCGTGTGGAGCGGCACAGCAGGCTCCGCCGCCAGTAGCGCCTCCGTATCCACCACCACCACGTCCCCCCCTTGAGCCCGGAGGAACTGCGCCTTCGCGGCCCCCCTCGCCACCGCCACCACCCGCGCCCCGGCCAGAAGGGCCAGCTGAAGGGCGGCCAGTCCCACACCGCCGGCAGCGCCCAGTATGAGGACAGTCTGACCTGCAGCAGGAAGCATGGGGAGGTTGTAAATAAAACCCCAAGTAAACAATCAAAACGCATTTGTATAAAACATATATTAAAAAATGTAAAAATAAACAGACAAATAAATGTTGTGAAGGAAAAAGACGTGCACGGGCGCTGCCTGAATGCCGGGTACGTCCGAAAGCGGCGACCGGGGTTCTTCCAGGCATCGCAAATGGGGATTGAAGGGGATACGACGGGGGGAGCGTTGGCGGAAGGGGGGAGAGTTGGCGGAAGAAGCAGGGGGTAGTACGGGAGCCCTCGAAACCCGCAAACCCGTCGGCACAAACCGAATCCCTCGGCGGAACGGCCACCCAGTCACGCACCCGCCTTGAGCTGCGCCCGGTGCCGTAACGCCAGGTCAGCAGTGCCGTACACGATGGGGATCGCGGCGGCGTCCTGTACCGGCACGCCATCTGCATTTTCAAAAAAACCGCGTTACAAAAGAGCGTTAAGAAAGAGTGCGGAAGAGTGTGTGAACCGTATCAAATGCATGGTGAGGTGCATGGTGAGGTGACGTCATGGTGAGGTGGGGGAATGGACCAATTGCCGAATCCCAAAGCACCACCTGCCGGGTGGCGGGAGGAGGGGGTTCAGGGGATATGGTGAGGTGACGTCATGGTGAGGTGACGTCATGGTGAGGTGACGTCATGGTGAGGTGACGTCATGGTGAGGTGACGACAGCCCGAGGAACAGAAGCAAAGCAAGGTCAGGGTGAATGACCCACAAGATTATTAGATCTGTGTGGACAATGAACATGGAGTGCGACTCTAATAACCCCACACCGAGCGAACGGAGCGGGGAGCAATGGTGCCCGAGATGAGAATGGGTGGTGGAGGGATATCGTACGAGTAGGGGTACGGCATGTACGGAGAGACATGGTGCCGCTTATACACCTTCACTTTGATTGCCCGCAGCTCAGATATTCTACTAAGGAAGCATACCGATTGGCAAACCGAAAGCGCAAGGAAGCACGATGGCGCCAAGGCGGTCGCGGTGATGGCAATTTATCCTCACAGTGCTGGTGGTCCGCATGGCAATGTGTTGGTAGTGGTGCTGGTACTGGTGCTGGTAGAGGTAGTGGTGCTGGCGCTGCCACTAAGCAGCTCAGCGTCACCCCCCAAAACACACACACATACATACACACATACTTGCACACACAGGCCAAAAGCATCACGAAGCCACCCCCGGCGTTTCCTAGCTTTTCCCCCCCACACACACGGAACCCACCCGGCACAAGCCACACGGACGCGGCGGGAGCCACCACCTGCTCTGCAAACGCTCCCCCCTGCCGTACAGCGCACACCTGGGGTTGGGTGGTGTTGCGGGCACATGGGAAGTATGGGTCCGTGGCCGTGTGTGTATTGGGGGGGCGGGGAACAACGTGGGGGTCGTCGTGAGCGGGGATGGCGCGTTTGCGTTCGCGACAGTGGTGCGAATCCGTTGGGAGTTGGGAGTGTACTTGATAAAACGAGGCGTGGGATTTGGGTTTTGGCGGATTGAATCAGCCATTTGAAAATTTGAAGCCGGGATGTAAGTTCCTACTGGATCCGGAGGCCGGAAAGGCGGTGTGGCGCGCCGAGGGCATCGAGAACATTGATCACCGATGCCGAAGCAGGTGAAAGAGGCTTGAAAAGGGGGTGTTGAAGGCTTCGCCTTTTGGAGCGAAGGATAGATAAGATCTGGGGCCGAGCGCCTTGGGAAAACGGGGAAAGATGGAAGAGGAGCGAGTACGTGGGCGGGCGCCTCGTCAGGAGGTTGTGGGTTATCGTTTGGAAAGTTCGTCGGGGGCTCAGGCCGGGAGGCTGTCTGGCCAAATGACAGCGGGAGCGAGGCGCGGTGCGGTGCGCACCTTGTCTCCCACGCGCACGTTCTTGACGCCAGCAGCGACCTCTACGACCACGCCAGAGACCTCGGAGCCTGGAACAAACGGCAGCTTGGGCTTGTCTTGATATTCGCCCTGGTCAAGAATGTCAGGATATAACTTTATGGGTGGTGATGTAAGCAAATGCCTGCAAGTCCTAGCCTGAGTTTGGGTCGATTTCGCGTCCCAGCTATCCAGGCAGAGCCAGCAACTGCCCAGCCGCAACTTTCTGAGACCCACCTTGATTTGCAAGGCGTCAGGGAAGTTCAAGCTGGCACTCACGACCTGGATGCGGACGGTGCCTGGTACAAGTTTCGGCTCAGACATTTCCGCGAGTCTGAGCACCCCGGTGCCAAGAGGGGTTCGAGCATCGCCAAGTTTCTCACAAATAATAGCCCTCATTTTTGATGATTGCTTAAGGAATTCAGCCGGTCTTTCTGGTGAAAGCAATCCGAAATTTTCGTTTATCTCGCATTGGCATTCATGTTATGTGTGGTCAATAGTCCTGGGACGAAACATCTATCATGGGAATTCGGAAGCCTTCACAGACGGATGCACGGCATCACGACGGTTACATTGCCTTACTAATTATGCCAAGTCGGTCGGGTAAAGCTGTGTGAGTGGTGGCTGTCCGTGAAGCTGATCAATTGGCGTTTGTGCACTTTCAACCCGTCAATGCCCTGCATCCGATGGGGTAAGGCCCCTGCTTACGGGCCAATTTTGTGACAGTGCGTATCTAAACTACGGCTGTATCATGTCATGATGCATGTACCGGCAAAACTTAGAGCATAGTAGTGCACTTTAATAGGGTGATTCCACTAGAAAGTTCGTTTCCGACGGATTTGAAAATTCTCACCCGGGACCTCGCCTTTGCTTCCTCTTTTTTGATATTTCGCATTTTGCATACACATGAATGATAGTAATTATTAGAGGATGCTGAAACGTGATGAGAAGGCGAAGAACGCAGGGCCCATGTGGAAACAAGGCCCTCGTTGGCGGTCTGATAACCCCATAAAAGTTACAGGATCCCCTGACGTTTTCCTAGGGGGCGCTCCACTCGACCCGTTCGGGGTCCACTGTAACAATCGCATCCCCTGACCGGCCTATCAGGCACGATAAACTTGAGCGCGAAACAATAACTGCAATTTTTTGCGCTATGTCTTTAGCTTACCTTCAGTCTATGCCCACGACTGCTTGGCGACGCGTTAGACGTTGACCGAGCCGAAAGATGTCTCAGAACCCGTCCCTGTCGCCCTTACCGACTGCAAACATGACAATAAACGTGCATAATGCATATAGTGCAGCGTTGCAGCAGGCTCTGCAGTGTCGGACCCCCATCAAGTTAGATGCGACGAGAGGAGCAAGTGCACTCGGAGGGGGATAACCCCAGCATCAATCTGCAATACAACAACAGCCCTCGTTTTTCTGGACTCTATACAAAAACACACAACATATAGGGCGATTTCGCGCTAGAACATTAGAAAATAATGGTTTCGGGGCTATAATGGAAACAGTAGTTGTTAGCGAGCCAATAGCTTTTCCGAGATACTTAACGGACTTTACAGTGGAATCATTCTGTGAAGCTAGTATCCGTATGTAGGCCGTGGGTTTATACATAGTGTGAAAAAACTCGAGGCGAGAGGTTAATGTTACTCATCACAGATGTATAAGTAACCAATTGAATAATAGAAATGATTGATTAACGTTGCCATTGAAAACGTGGTTGTGTGTATGCATGACTGACTGCAAGTGTGTTGCGCATTATTATAAGTTCATTTTTTTAATTTCTACTGGAAGACTCTATTAATCCTTTCTTGGTTTTCTCTTTGCAATGGACCTAGCACAGGTTATATATGATGAGGCTGAACTTGGCTAGAGTTAAGCGGGCACTAATGCAGCAAAGTCCTCCTGAATTACCACCAGCGTCATCGCTGAGCGCAGAATTGCCACTGCGTGAGACATCCACAGCCACCGTTCCTGACACAGTGGAAATTCCCGTTGGTCCCGACTCCAAACCGAGCAAGCCGTCTCTGCTTGACAGTCCAGATTTAAGAGAACTTTTTTCTCGGTAGGCTTGAGCCTATTAACTGTTCTGCTTTTCGGACGACGACGGGCTCTAGCGGCATGCTTTTGATCCACGTAGGCACGTATGGCGGCGCGAAACGAAGCGGCGGTTAAAGCGCCTCAGGCCCAAGGAGGTATGGCATCTGATAAAGGAAGAGCGCTGGACCATCCTTGCCACGGTCGTGTTCGCGGCAGCGCTGGTTGCGCTGGAGTTGACTGCCTGGCGGTGCGTGCTGGGGCTTTGACCAGGGGGCTTGAGCCAGGCAGGGCCTTCTAGGGATACGGCTCGCAGACCGCTCGGAACTGCACTGCCGCGCGGAACTGCACTCCCGCGCTCAGCCCGCCCTGGAAAGTTGCAAGGTTATCAACATCAGAAACTGAAAATGCTGGCTTTCTTCTTAAGCCCGTAATCGGGAGGGGGAAAACTTGGGAAAGTACACGGCGGTAAAGAAGGAGGTGGTCCGTACAGCTCTTTTTGGCAAGGGACGCGGCCTCTAGGAAGAGGGCGATGCCCAGGGGCCTGGGGCGGGGGCCATTGCCGTACCCTTGACGTGGGCTAGCTGGGAAACAACTGTCCAGATGCCGATATGCGTATGCGTCTGTGTGTTTGTGTTTATGTGTGTGTGTGTGTGCGTGTGTGTGTGTGTGTGCGTGTGTGTTTTGGGTGTGTGTGAGTGTGTGATCACATGATGATGCAAGAAGCCAAGGGGTCCGCTGCTGGCGTTCGGAGTGGGGGACGGACGTGAAGGGGACAGCGGGGGAGGGATGGGTTGTGAAACACACACGCGGGAACGCGGGAGGGACGGCAACCAGCAGGCAGGCAGCGGCGTTGGAGACACGCATTCGTGTTCAATTTTCCCCTCTCCTCCCCCCTCTCTTCCCTCCCGCGTCTCCTCGCTCCATCTTCCCTAGTTGATGCTGACGTGGATGTCTGCAGTTCAGCTTCCGATTGACTCTTATCATATTTCCTTCCCTCCTCCCACTCCCACTCCTTCCTCCATCCTCCCCCTTGATGCTATCTGCTTACATTCGTCAGTGTCGTTCGTCTTACCCGCCTCCCCCCCTCTACCCCCCACAGCTTCACTCGTTCGTGGTTTGTCTTTCCCCCCTCTCCCCCCACCCAATATTATCTTGGCGTATTCATCTATTGTTTTTTCCTCCTTCTCGTCAAATCGTCTGTGTTTCGTCGTACCCCCTCTTTCCCCCCCGTCCACTCAGGGACATGTCCCCCGAGGCCTGGTTTACTTTGTGGGTCACCTTCTTCTCCATCGTGCCCATGATTCGCGGCGTCGTTGATCCAGATGTATGTCTGTTCGCGGGCGCGACGGTGCTGCTGCTGCGCGGCGTCATCACCCCGCGTGACGCCTTCGCGGGCCTTGCGAATGACTCCATTGTGTCGATAGCGCTGATGATGATGATTGCGGCGGGTCTGGAGTCTTCGGGGGCGTTGGAGTTTGTTCCGGAGCTGGTGCTGGGCAGGAGCCGGAGGGAATGGGTGGGGCAGGTGGGCCGAATGTGCGTGTATGTGTGTATGTATGTATTATGTGTTATGTAAGTGTGTGTTTTGCATCTGGGGGAGGGAGGATAGGGCGGCTGCCAGGAGGGGAATAGGGCCGCCCAGGAGCGCGGGTATATTCCCCGGTTCACCAAGGGATTTGGATGAGAGGGGGAGGATGGGTTAGCGGGTTTCGCAGCTTGAGCTTTTGGCCCCGTACGATTTCCCCTTTGGTTTTGCTTCGAACGTCGGCAGGTTTCCCTTGGGCATGTGCCTGCAATAAATTCCTCTTCCTCCCATTTCCCCCGTACCCTCAATTCTTCTGGCCCCCGCATTTCTTCTCCCCCGCACCCCCCCCCCACCTTCGTGAAACTGAGCCTGTTCTCAGCTCCGACTCCACATCGCTGTGGCCAGCGTGTCGGCAGTCATGAACAACACACCGCTTGTGGCGGTGAGAGGGGAGCGGGGTAAAGGGGATACGGTGTGTGGGTGTATGTATGTATGTATGTATGTATGTGTGAGGTATGTGCAAGAAGCAAAGGCAAGGTGGTGCGGATGCGGTTGGCGGGCTAGAGCTTTAGAGCTAGAGGTAGGCCTAGAGGTAGGGGTAGGGGATGCATGGAAGGTTGGGTGGATGGGCTGCCGGGGGGCGCCCAGAGCTGAATGTGTTTTTTTGGCGCGAATGTCCCGTCGACCCGCGACTTAGCACCCGCCCCGCAAACCACCTCACTTGCCTTGGTTGCGTGTCACCCCATGCAGGTTATGATTCCCGTGGTTGAGGCCTGGTGCCGCCAAAACAATCACAACGTGTCGCGGTTCATGATGCCGCTCTCCTACGCCGCCATCCTGGGGGGGCTGTGCACCATCATCGGCACCTCCACCAACCTCATCGCCAGAGGTCTCGCTCAGCAGGAGGTTCCGGAGCTGCGAATACCCTTTGTTGAAATCGGTACGGGGTTTGGGGATTTTCCTTGGTGATTGTGTTTTGCTGCCGGGAAGGGAAGGGGAGGGGGAGAGGCGAGGTGAGGTGAGGTGGGAGCTTTCATTCGTAGATGTGTACATGCACATGCATATGCACATACATTCAGACATACTTGCGCACAAGACGAGATCCCCATATTGCCCCCCCTTCCTCCCGTACACATACCCCCGTACACATACCCCCGTACACATATCCGTACACATACCTGTACGCGTGCATATACACGTGCTCGCAGGCGTCATAGGGCTACCCCTGACAGTGGCTGGTGGTTTGTATATCGTTCTGTTTTCCCCCCTGCTGCTGCCCAAGCGGGAGCCCATGATGGCCTCCGTGGTGGCCGACCCGCGGGAGTATGTGGTCAGTGTGAGGGTGGACTCCAGATACGCACATATTGGTAGGTGTATGTATGTAGATATGTGAGTGTGTGTATGTGTGTCTGTATGCGCATGCGCGTGTGTGCGTGTGCGTGTTTTTTTGGGGGGAAGGAGTTGGTCGGGGGGGGGTCTCGTGATTAACTCCCCTCCCTGTATCTGCTCTAAACGAGCTGTCATGATATGAGCCATGAGGGAGCTCGGGGGCTCTTTCTACCCCCGGGTTATACCCTGCCGTACTCTCCCCCCACCTTCCCCCTCGGGGACGCAGGGGCGCAGTTGCATCATTGCTTTCTTAGGGACGGCTGCGCTGTAGCAGTTCGCGGAGGCGTTGGACACCGGCAGTAGCTCTTGCCCTTCACTGACTTTGCACGTGCTTCCCTTCTCTCCCACCCAACCCGGAGCTGTAGTTCATTCTCCGGTTCTTGCGCGTCCTTACCGCCCCTCCCCCCCCGCCGCCGCCTTCAAGAACGCCTTTTGGTCAGTTCTACGTCTGGTGTACACTCTTGCCCTGGCAGCGGCTTCACTCGCTCGTGGTTCGTCTTTCCTCTCCCCCCCCGCCCGGCCGCAGGTCGTACCATTGAGGCTGCGGGTCTACGACATCTGCGGGGGCTGTTCCTGGCTGATCTGCAGCGAAGGGACGGAACTGCCGTACCCTCGCCGCCGCCCACAACTATCATATTGCAGGTGAGGGGGGAGAGGGCCTCCGGAGGGAGGGGAGGGTCAAAGTGTGTGTGTGTGTGTGTGTGTGTGTGTGTGTTGGGGGGGGGGAGAAAAGAGGGTGTAGGTTCCAGATCGAGGGGAATTGTTTTTCGTATGCTAACTTGGGGATTTGGGTTGGCGTCCCGTCTCCTGTTTTCGCATCGTACTCGTGTTGATGATGATGCCAATTTCCCCATCGTTTTTCTTCCACCCCCACCTTCCTCCCACCTACCTCCCACTCACCCCTGCTCATCCCCCCGCCCGCCCCACCTACTCGCCCGCAGGGTGACAAGCTGACGTTTGCCGGGGACATTACGGGCATGCAGCACATCCTCACCCTTCCTGGCCTTAACCCCATCAGTGAGTGCCGTACTGTCGCACTTCTGTGCGCTGCCGTACTAATGTGATGGCCGGGCGGTTATGGGAACGTATGGGTTGACTCTCGCTTCCTTCCCCAGCGTGCGGGGGAACTTGTGTGTTTTTGGGGAAACTAGTCCGAGGGGAGGGGTTCTGTGTTTTCGTGTCTTACATCCCCCCCCCCTCACACACAAACACACACACACTCCCCCCCCACACGCAAGGGGTTTCCCTCCTCCCCAACCCCTCTCATTCCCCCCTCTACCCACCCCTCTATCAGGTTCTTCGGAGGTGGCCAATGACTTTGAGGAAAATGCCGCATCCCGGGGTGTGGACCGCGTGATGGTGGAGGCGGTGAGGAGGGGAAGGGGGGGCAGGGGGAGCAGAGGGAGAAGGGGGAAAAGGGGAGAGAGGGGGGGGCAACTCCTGGTTGACCACGTGGTTTTTCCGTGGTGGTGGTGGTGGCGGAGGTGGGGACCCGTTCTCGGGTACCTACCCACTTTATTTATTTTGTATGTTTAGGGTGGTTGGGTAGTGGTGTGTGAGGTTTTGTCCTTCGATTGCATCTTTGACTCGGCTTAGTTTTTTTTTGCCTTTTTGCCCTTTTCAACACCTCCCACCACATACATACTCTTCGCTGACTCTTGGTATCGACTAAAGCGGGTTTGTTGTGATTCCTCAAAGCTCCCTCCCCCCTTTCCGCCTTCGTTGACTACAGCTATGCATTAAATATCACGCATATACACTCATCACACAATATTCACACACACACACATACTAAAACACATATAGAACACACATACACACATATAGTTACACCCGCGCCTCCCTTTCCCGCGATGTCGCCTTCTTGCTTCCACATACATACTCACTACATACTTACATACGTACTTTTGTACAGGTGGTGGCGCTGAGCAGTCCCATCGTCAATATGACGATTCGTGACAGCCACTTCAGGTCTCGGTACGGGGCGGTGGTGCTGGCGGTGCACAGAAATGGGGAGCGAATAATGGGCGGCCTGGGGGATATTGTTGTCAAGGTGCGCGTGGGGTGTGTGTATGTGTGCGTATATGTAATGTACGTCAGTGTATGTGTGTGTTTGTGTCTCTGCTCCCCTCCCTCTTCCTCCATCCTCTTAAAATTCCCATACCATTACCGCTTCATCAGCCAGCTTTCACCTTCTTTCCTCTTTTAAGGGATTTTCCTCACAAACCCGGTTTTCCTATTTCCTTGTACTTTTCGGTGCATACCGACGACAAGAACATGGCTCCATAATCGCATGCTGTAAATATTACACTTCAAAATTTTAATTGGTGTGAAATGGGTGGGTGAGCCTTTTGCAAGTTGCTGATGCAAATCACATAGTTTATGAAACACTATTTTATTATATTGATATTTTTTATTTTTATTATATATTTATTATTTATTGATATTAATTTTTATTAACATTAGTTTTTCCTCCTGGTTTTCCTTGTCCCCTTACCCTGCCTCCTGCTCCCGCTTTCTCCACCCCGCCCCTCACAGGGCGGTGACACGATGCTTCTGGAAGCGAGTCCGGACTTTTTAGAGAAGTTCAAACATTCGAGCGAGTGGGCTCTGGCGGTAGACGCGTTTAGGTGAGGATAAGGGGGAGGGGAGGGGAGGGGGGAGGGGAGGGGAGGGGGGGAGAAATTGGCCTGATGTGCTGCCAAATCCAAAGGGGATGAACCCACTGCTGCCGACTGACATCCAAAGTTGGCGGGGACTGGGGAGGGGGAGATTATCTGCGGGCGAAGAGAGCGCGGAAGTGTGTATGTGTGCGTGTGTGTGTGTGTGTCTCACTGAGTTGCCTTTCTCTTCCTTGGCCCCTGTCGTACTGGGTAACCCTTTGTTTCCCCCCTCGTCCGTTTGCTACTCTCTTGCCCTGGCAGCAGCTTCAATCGTGTGTGGTTCGTCTTTCCCCCCCTCGTCCCCTCTCCTGCTGTCAGGGTATCCCCGCCCCGCAGAGATCCCGTCGCGCTGTTCACCTCGATGGGCATATTTGTGGCCATGGTGGTGTTGAACAGGTCGGTTGGGGGGATGTTTGTATGTATGTATGTATGTTTGTTTGTGTTTAAAAAAATAGAAATAATTAAAAAATGATTAGAAATATTAAAAAAATGATTAGAAATATTTAAAAAATAAAAAGAGTTAAAGATATAGTCCGAATTGGGTATGTTGTGTGCGGAAGGGTTATAACCCACACCTTTGGGGACTGAGGGTTGGTTTGGGGGGAAGGGGGGGCTGGGGGGGAGACATGCCCACCGCAAATACCCTCTTGACCTGCTGCTGCTATTGCTACTGCTGCTATTTGTATTGCTGCTGCTATTACTGCTGCTACTGCTACTCCTTAAGATCTCCCATCCCGCACAGTTATCGTGCTCCCCATCTTTCCCCTGACCATCTTTTCCACCTCTCCTCTCTGTGGTTCGTCTTACCCCTCTCCTCCCCCCCTTGCGCCTTCTCCCCCCCCCCGCAAACACACACGCAGTATGGACCTCATCCCTCTGGCCACCTCAGCCTTGGTGTGTCTGTTCGCCTACCTTGTCACCGGTGTACTTACCGTACAGAAGGCTCGTAACGCCATACCTGGAGGCATATTGCTGACTGTGGCGGGGGCGTTTGGGATGGCAAGAGGCCTCACTGTGACGGGTGCGTACGGGGGTGCCGTACATGGGCATAACTTGCCGTACATGCGCTTGACATGGCGCATTTGTTGGAAGACCAACTTCCTTGCCTCCTATTGTCCCCTTGCTCCTCCTCCTCCTCCTCCTCACATTCCGTTACACTCCGTTACACAGCCTATAATTGTATGGTTGAGAAAGAGAAAAGTTACACCTCTGGCCACAGCCCCTTTTTCTTCCCCTCCCCGTCATCCTAAATGTATCCGTCTATCCATCCCTGGAAGGTATCAGCTTCACTCGTCTGTGGTTCGTCTTCCCCCCCCATTATACTCTCCCTTACATCCTCCACTTCCCCTGGGATTGGCAACTTTGGATGTTTGAAGTTGATTTTTGTTGGCTTTGCTGCATGTATTTCCCCATCCCCCCTTTTCCCCGCGCGTTCCCCCCTCAAAACACACACTTACACGCATATGTATACATACATACATACGCACACACGCACGCAGGCCTTGCGGACCGCCTAGCAGCCTCCCTTTTGAGCTGCTTCAAGTGGATGGGCCGGGCCGATGCCGTGAGCTCCGTTTACGTGACGACCTCCTTGCTGACAGCGCTGCTGAGCAACGGCGCCGCCATCACGTTGATGTTCCCCATCGCCTTGACCATGTCGAAGCAGGCGGGGATCAGTTTTAAGGGGCCGCTGTACGCGATAATGGTGGGCGCGTCGTCCGATTTTTCGACTCCTATCGGATATCAGACGAACTTGATGGTACGTGTGGCTTCTGTTTCTGTTTTCGTTTTTGTTTTTGTTTGGTTGTGTGTGTATGTATGTATGTATGTATCTATGTGTGTATGATTGTTTTTTACATATTTTGCCGGGCCTGACGTCGCTGGCCCGGGGGGGTTGCTGCCCAGCTGCCCCAACGAACAAGACCGCCGGCCGAAGCACTTCCCCGGCCCCCCTTTAGGGGGAAGGGGAGGGGCGTGAGGGGGGCCGCTGCCCCCTCTCTTGCTCGACACACACACACACACAGAGCCTGAACCGCCAGATACCGTGTAGGGTGTCTACGCACAGCGGTACAAGTCCACGGAGGAAGGAAAGAAAGGAAAGGCCCACAGCCTCAAACGCGGAGCCAGGAGAGAAAACGCTGTGCCAGCCAGCAGCCAGCATTGAAAGACGCTCTCGGCTTGTGTGTGTGCGTGCATGTGTGCGTGTGTTGGGGAAATGTCGGGGCTGGGTAGAGAGAGTGTGCGTGCGTGTGTGTGTGTGTGTGTGCGTGTGTCTCCTCTTCCTCCTCCTCGTCCAGCCGCTGCTCTACTGCTGCTGCTGCAGCAGCATATCTTCGTGCATCATCATCCTTCTTGTGGACATCATCATACGACCAAGACAGCCTAAGGGAGTGCTGCGGCGGGGACCCCGGGTGCCGCACCTGACGTCCTGTGAAGTCATGTGCAGACCGGCTCCTACACCCCCCCCCCTTAGTTACTAAATAGGGGGTATTAATTAATACAAACGCACAGATAGACACACACGCACAGACACAGACAGAGAGACACACACAGACAGACAGACAGACAGACACACACACACACAAGTGTTTTGTAGTTAGGACTGCTTCCCCCCTTCCCGCCCTCAGATCTCTTTCCCCTGCGCCCCCTCCTCTCCCGCGCCCACAGGTGAGTGGTCCAGGCGGCTACCGCTTCCTCGACTACACCCGATTCGGCTTGCCGCTGCAGCTCATAGCGGGCCTGATCACCGTGCCCGTTTGCGTGTTGTACTTTGGTTGAAACGGAAGCGAGATTCAGATAAATACGCTCGCACTGCGGTTGATTCAAGGTCTTGTCATCATTGACCCATAGGGGGCTTCATTGTTCTTGGGATTGAAAGGTTTTGCATCCCCCCACATGGCTGCATGGTATGCCTACCTGCCAAGGTGCGGCCGGTAGCTTTCCATAAACCTGGTGTGATATGCGTGTTTTGGGTGTGCGGGGTGTTGTGTGTGAGTGTGTATGTATGTATGTGTGTGCGATCCAGGTTGGGGTGAAAGAGACGAACGGGCTGCGACGGTGACGGTAATGGTGACGGGCACGAGCACGGGCGCGCGAGGACGAGGACGGGGTTTGGGATGGAGATGATTCGGCCGTTGTGGTTGCATCGTTCCACGAGCGCAGCGCCTACAGTGTTTGCGCCCACTGTGTAGGACAGCGGTGCCAAGGGGGCGACTAGTGTGTGCGTGTGTGTATGTCTGCGTATGTTATCGGTGTGGGAGGGGGGCCCCAATGCAGCACGGTAGTATATATGTACGTATGTCTGAATGGACGTATGGAAGGAAATATGGATGGATCTTGGTTCTGTCTCCTTAACGAATTCGAATAAGTACGTGCGTCATCAACAAGGCAACGTGGATACATGGAAACATACATACATATATACATACATCCACTTCATGTTTTTACGCAATGACATTTGGATACAAACATATGTACATGCAGAGAGATGTACATGGTATGGATCCAGCGGATCGGACCCCCAGGCAATCGGTGTGGAGTAGTAGGGGTAGTAGGGGTAGGAGCAGGGCCGGGTGAACAACTTGGCGAGATGGGTGCGGGTGCACTTTTCTCCTCCGTATTTGTGTGTGAACATGCTACACGCACACGCGCTTGGAACAATTTTTTTTCTGTGTGTGCCTGTACGTGTGTCTGTGTGCTTGTTTGTTTGTGTATGCGTGAGGTTGGTCTGCGCAGGGGTGATGTTGCTGTGGTGGTGTCTCGGTTGACGTCTCGCTCGCTGCTGAAAGGGTGTAGCAGCTATAGGAAGTACGGCAGACGGCAGACATATCATTTGCAAGTACGCGCTAAGGCGCTCTGCCAGCATCTTTAGAGGCCTTTTCAGCGGGACCAGCAACCGCCAGAAAGGAACGTCGCGCGCTGCTGGCTGTCAGTAGCTAGTAAGTACGGGCAGGTCCTGTACGGGCAGGTCCTGTACGGCGGGTTACGAGTGCGAGGGGATATAAATGTACTAATGGTGGCATCTGGTGATGTACGACGGCAGTCGGTGAGCGAGAGTGGTCAGGTATGTTGAAAGAAAGCAAGCAAGCCATTTTACCTCATTTCTTGTGGCTGGGTGGGTGGGTGGCTGGGTGGGTGGCTGGGTGGCTGGATCGATGGGTGGGTGGCTAATAAAGTGAATCGTAGCGAGGCGCGGCGGCGGCTTTCAACCGGGGGAGGCTTTAAGATGGACTTACAGCGACGGATGAGGTGTCGGCAGTGCTGCACGCGTGACGACGAGCGATCGGCCCCAAGCGCTTTTAATTATGCATGTGTGTGTGTGTGTGTGCGCGCGCGCATATTGACCCGTGATATGGAACATGTGCAATATGTAATGCTATACTAAATCGGCATGCCTAGGGGGTTTCTCTCGGCTAGGAAGAGGGGTAATAGCCGGCGGCAGGGCATTTCTGTACGGCATTTGGAGCGACTGTCTTCATATCTTTTCCATGGCGTGCTTGCTGGTTAGGTAGTTAGTTAGCAGGGCCCGATGCGGGCACGTGCACTTCACCGTCCGTTTGTCGGCAGGTCGGCCTAACTAACCTAACTGATTTAGGATAGTAAGTAGTTGGTTGAAGGTGGTGGTACTGCGGTGGCTGACAGCCCTGGGGGCCTTCTGATGGCGAACTAGCTACTGCTGGTGATGGTGGTGATGGTGATGGTGGTGGTGGGAGTAGAGTTAATGGTAGTGGTGGTGGTGGTGGGGACGAAGCAAGGTGCGTGACGGTGATGGTGGAGGATATTCCGGATGGTGCTGCTGATAGATGGATGCTATATATGAGGCGTACAACGATTGATATGGGTCGTATATTTGTACGGTGCCCCATAGTGCATCACTTGTTAACCGTTTTTGGAACAGGGTTGTCCTTGCGAAGGGGACTGAGTTTCACAATATTTTGCGTGAGGAGATACGTCTTGCAGTGCGTTCTGATTATACTGCCACCAACTGGGTTGCCATGACCCTAAGGGGTCTCAGGTGCTTAGGGCACTTCCCGGAGCTGCACCCAGACCTGGACGAAGAGGGAAAGGTCAATTTCATTTCGTCGAACCCGATCAATGTTCGATTTGTCATGGAAACGTTGGAGGAGCGATTTGATGATGACTGGCAGAACCCACGTCTTATTAGTACACCTCCGGGAACTTGTCTCGGACAACTGTAAACCAGGGGTGAAGATGCGCCGGCATACCCATTGGATGGGAACGCCGAAAATACGACGTGCTACATCCCTGCGAAGTCATACTTGTCACTGCTGCGGTTTCGCTTAGGGGCGTAGCCTTTGGAGGTTAGCCGACCAGGCAGTCGGTCGCGCCAAGAGCGCTGGTGTAGGGTCCGTGGCAACTAGTAAGCGACCTCAGGCTTACTACTCGGCTATCAGCGTGCGTCGCCTCATCCAGATGTTATGAACGATCTGTGCAAGTCCGCGCTGATCATCTATCTCCACGACAGACCTCATATTAGGCACGGGCTCAATAACAGCCTGGCATACACCTAGGTTGGGGAACCCTTCCCGTATATCTTTGTAGGCGGCCGAAGTGTTCCCCAGAGCGTCAGCTGGGTTCCAACTGGCAACCAACGGCATCGGAAATTGAACTCGGATGCTCGTAGCCCCGCCCAGTCCTCCGCAATAAAGCGGGATTCCAGTTTTCATTACGGTGCATATACTTTCATGTGGATGAATAGATAAGCGCTTGCATACAGCGACTAATAAGCATGCATGCTGCAGCTAGTAATAACGTATGACACATAGCTTTGCCTGCGCAGGGTTGCGACCGTATTACTTTTGACCGTCCGGCGTAATACTACATTCCAAAATATTTTACGCCCGGCGATGGCGTATTGTACGACACCAACTTTTTACTCGGCGTATTGCAAAAGCTCCGGCGTAATCTCCTTTGCAGTATTTCTGGCGAAAACACTTGCAGAAGATTAACAAGCATATTTTCTGTATCGTGACGTGAAGATACCGTAGCCGTGCCCCTGCTGCCTGCCGCTGCACTGACGTCGACAAGCTGGGCTCCGCCGAGCGCTGATCGTCACCACCTTGCCGAGCAGTGACGGCTGCTTTGGCGCCCTGCTCCAGCCGCCACAGCTGCTTCAACTCCAGTTTCTTGCCGTGTGATGGCGACGGGCACTGCTCAAAGTGCAGAGCCAGTTCGTGCAAATTGGCGCGTCTGGCAGGGATTTCAGTGCCGCATGTCTTGAGCTTAGTGACGGCGATTAGTAGTGCAATATGGCCCTATGTCATCGAAGTAATCGTTCGTAACAACTCGTTTATGACCACGTTCGGCTCGGGCCCATCATCCATTGTGCCGCCTGACACGAACACCGACTGTTTACCTGAGCCGATCGATGTCAATGCACTACCAAGACGATACAATTAGCAACGGAGAGAGCAGTGTGCGCTGTTTGGGGTAAGAACAAGCGGTTTGGGGCCTGTATGACCATATGGTAAAACTAATACGCCGACTTTACGCTACTAATACGCCGCACGGAAAATTGACCACCTCGCCGGCGTATTTGTGCGTAGTTGTGCTTGGCGTATTACATTGTAATACGGTCGCAATCCTGTACCTGTGGCCGTCGGGACACCAATTCGGACAGCCCGAGACGGGGTAGACAACGCTCCGTCTGCACCGTCTCTTTCGCATTTCTGTAAAACGTACTTAGCTAGATGTGCTAAACTATATTGCTCAAGCAAAAGAAATTTGCATAACACACGAGCATTTTCAAAAAGATTCGGCAACGCCCACCTACACTTCTAATGCCTCAATCAGGCCCATCGCCTCACAATCACGTATAACTACATCCTCCCGCGGCATTACTCTACGTTTAGTCCGTTCAGATGAACGGCCGCAACTTGGGGTCTCGCACGCTGGCGATCTTGGCGGCCACCTTAGCCCCCCCTCGCAGCCCGCCTTGATAAGCTCCAAAAACGTGGCGTACATCGCCTCCTGCTCTCCAAAATCCTGCGCTGACGCGATGCCGCGGTTATAGTACCTGCTCGCGTCTTACGCTGCCCGCGATGCTGCCCTTTTTGCTCACGCCTCCTGGCCCCTGTCACACGCTGGGTGACCCGTGCGTCCCTCAGCTGGCGGGGTTCTTGCAGTGCCCAGCTGATCAGGCCACGAGCTGGTGCCGCCCTCACTGAGCGGAGGGAGGTTTGGCCCCAGCCGGGATGGTGAGGCCGGGAACCATTCGTCCACGAGGCGTCCGTAATCCTGATGAATCGCCGCGTCCCTGGTAAGGAACACGGTGCAACGGCACCGGGTCGGGCATGGCACTGCCAGAAGGTTTACTTGTATGCACAGCGTAACGATCTTGTGACTTCTTTAGGAGGCTGTATAGCTCGCTGCGTGACTTTACTGCAGTCGCGGAGTATGTGCGGTTCAGCCGTTTACTGCTGGGGATATTTGCCGTGGAAAGTTTTAGGCCAGTTTGCTTGTACCGGCCTAGCTTTTGTCAAAGCTGACATTGTCTGCGCCGGGGAACTGTAGCTTTAGGATATCTTTGGCACGTACACTGTGCTCGGTCTTGGTGATGCGGTGGTGTAAGGCTGTAGTGCGGGAGTCAAAACATCGCGATAAAGGCAGTTTACTGGAAGTTACGCACTGCCTTTGTGCGTAATCTTTATAATTAATATAATTAGTTAGGAACATAGCGATTGGGATGATGCCTGATTGGTGCCCTGCCAGCCATGCATACATTTGTTGTTATACATACATATAGGAGTGTATCAAATTGAAATTATTACACACGGAAAAATACTTTAAGCTTTAGTAGGTCATGTAAGCACAACAGGCAACGAGAACCCAAGCGACACTACTTGTCGCGACGGAAGATCAATAAGCGCTGCGTTGCACTGACTGCTGCTGACACATTGCTTGCTTTGTTACCATCTCCGTTCTTTGCGTCTGAGTGCTGGAATGGATGCTACCCTGGAATGCGAATACTAAGCGTACGTGGAAACAAGCAAGTGCCACTCGATACTATGTATCACTACTGTACGGCTGTGCTCTTTTTGTAACGTTAAGTACCTTGGAGGGCCCCTGTGGATCAACTTATTAACGTTCATTGGTTGGCTCATAGAATGCATTCTCACTGCTACAGACGCATGACGAATGTCTCTCGCGGCATGTATAGCGAAATCCAATACCCCGCTTAATACTCGTATGGCATGGCTCATGTTGTTATATGTACATTCCTTTCGGTAAAGCAACATGTCCCCCTCATTACGAGGTATGGCAAATGAACATGTTTCTTTTCAACTCTGCTCCTGTTGCTGCTGCCGTTGCTGCTGCTGTAATTTGCTGCTGCTGCCATTGCTGTTGCTGCAATTGTTGCTGCTGCTGCTGTTGCCGTTGCTGCTGCTGCTGGCTATGGTTTGCTCGTCATGCACGGACGAGAGCTCTTGCTGCTGCGTATTTAGCCATGATGGGCGATACAACATCATGTGCTCATTCTCGAACACGTATCCCTCCTTTTTGCTGCCTATTTATAAGTAGCAGCTAGTCTGCTGCCTCATGCTGATAACCGCCGGCAAGCAAGTGAGTTGCCGTACTTGTTGTTGGTGCTGCACCACCAGCAGAAGCGCGCAATGGAGACGACGATCTACAGCAACCCGAATTGTTGTGGTACTGTCAAAGAATTATATCATTAAATAAGCGCGTCAAATATATACTCTGCTAAGGAAGCCTACATATGAAATTGTTACCGCCGATATCAACTACTACTACTACTACTACTGGCCGGTGGCGGCTTGCTTTTGATAAGACGGGCGGATGCAGCATATTCAGCAAGGCGGCGACAGCAGATATATTTCATCCGTCTCCAATCGAGTCTACGGCAATGTAATGGTGAGCTAAGCACCATTGAGCACTAATCACAAATTTTATGCAAAGGGGCATATATATACCAGCTATCTGCTGCTGGATGTCTAAATAAACGATGGAATGGGAATTGCTCATATTTGCTGACCATTGATAAATAAATTAAGTGATTAATAGTCACCTCCTCGATCGTCTGTAAGATAGAATTTTGATCGTCGACAGACCATGCATCTACTAGGTGCAAAATAGTATTTTAAGCAGGCATATCTATCTACCATGGCACGGCCTATAGACCATATATGGTATTGTATATACATTCTATACAAAAAAATCTATATAAATCTCTACTTGGTCAATAAATAAGTATTTCGCTTACATCGTCTACCCAAACGGATAAGCTAATGTTGTGCAGTGCGACATATACACAATTATTATCTTAGTAAGCCACTGTTCCACAGCAGCAGGGTTAACCGGGAACGCTCCCGCCGCTGCCATGCTGATAACATTACTGTAGTATTATTAGATAATAATTCTGGCATACAGTGGAGAAGTGCACTCAGATATAACAATCATGTCCAACTTGCTTGCTTTTGATAATGGCTTGGCTTTTTGTATGTGTAGATAGCAGCAGGTCCATCGATGGCACGGCGTTGCGCATTATTGTCAACGTTCTTCCTTGTTGTTATTACAGCAACAGTTTGCGGCTGGTCGACATCTGCAGCAGGACAACCACTGACCATTTCGATGGACCCAAACATACACTTGAATGACACATCAGGGGCAATGGACATATTGAGGTTTTTATTTTATTGTTCCAGCACAACAACCATTACTACTAGTAGTAGTACTAGTAGTAGTACTACTACTGGTAGTACAATTACTATTAGTAGTACTACTAATAGTAGTACCACTTCAACTACAGCTTTTGTAGTGAAATATCGTAATTTCTCTTCTGGAATCACCGACATCTGTGGCATCTCCAGCATTACCTCCAGCACTATTACTGCCGGGGTATCGTTCATTATTATCCGATGCAAGAACGATTCGTCACCTATAAGTAGGAGGAGGATAACGGACATTGAGCTGGCCGGCATATCCGTAGAAGAGGTCACATCCAGATGCTATCAGCCGGTTTGGACGCCGCCGCCGCCGCCGCCGCCGCCGCCTACACTACCGTACGGTTTAAGTAAGTGACGGAGGCGTGCATCCCTGACGGAGGCACGCACGGCACAGCATGGGGATATATATACATGTGAATGCTGCAATGTTTATTTTGGGTTTTATAAATTTACGCCAAAGAGCCACCAGCTAGTAGCGAGGCGATGATGACACGCTTGCATGCACGTGCATGGCTATAGCCAGCAGCTAGCTAGCTGCTGGTACAGTATGTAGATCATGTACGAAAACGTACGTAGTGTACGAAAATGGCTTGTGAGGGGGTTCGCCAGCAGTAATGACTCATTATGTAATTACTAATTACCTTGAGTAATTATTTCAGTATTTGTTCATTACTCATCAGATGACACGCATGCGGCTACGTGTCACAAATCGTATTGTATGTATATGTATATATATACATATATATAAATATTGCACGTCTAGACATGTGGCTGCGTGCTGCGAACTAACTGTCGTGTATATGTGTAGGACAGTCGATCATGCGTGCGCGTGCATGCTGTGTGTGTGGTTGTTACAGTGGGCTCCAGACTCATGAGTCATCATGAAAAGTAGAGCCAGCGGACCTGCTGGCCGTGTAGTTACATATTATAATGCTGTAAGAAATGCATTCACGGTTATCTATGCTAGCAGCAGGTCGGCTTATTATTAGCGGCTGATCAATCGAGGCAAACAATGAATGTATAATGATAATAATAATAACAATATCATAATACTAATAATAATAATAATCGCGACAGCGGTGCGTAATGACATTTGACATGAGCAGTTATTTTCAGCGGCACAACTAATAATAACTGGCAAACAGACTAATATTGTTGATAGAGCAATCTTCCTTTCCACACTTGTCCGTTGGTATATCGTTGAACATGTTTGTGGTTCGTTCGCGCAACGAATGAAATACATAATACGTACCAAATAAACCTTCGATACATGTGACGATATCGTGTGACGATATCACTTGGATCAATCCAAGTGATGACGTACGTAGCGCCGCCTGCTTCTGAAGCTTGATGTAAGCAAACAAGCTTGCATCAGATGTATAGCGATATAAGCTGCAGCCGGTAGCTAGAGGCACGCACACGCACAGGTTGATGTTATTCGATCTGCTGCTGCTGTAAGGCATATGCCTTACAGCCCTACATGCATATAGGGCTATGATATCCTTTATTCATCGCGATCGCCACTGATACCTTGCGACAAATGTAGTCTTATCTGCTTGAAAATTGCTTGCAGGTACTGAGACCGCCTGGATCACCGAGCCCAGTTCCGGCCGCATTGTGCAAACCTCATCAAACTATTCCCAGGTAGCTGGCGTACAGCTGATTGGCCTCAATAACACACAAGCCATGCTTCCGTCTCAAATGTGGCTGATCAAAATCTTGGACGCTGATGCAGCGGTACACACCTTGTACAGCGCAAATAACGCGAGCGTGTGCTGGGGAGTAACTGGAGGATCAAACGCAACTGGAGCTAAGGTGCGTCTTAGCAGCAGTACTGGTAGCAGTACTGGTTAGCCTACAGCTCTTCCTATCTACCTAAGTATGGAAGAGAGTGCAAATAATATCAGGCATCGCCCAAAAGGCCATTCACCAGTAGACAAGAAAGGACCGATTGTGCGTGGGTCGGGGCAAAAAGGTCTGGGATTAGCAGAGCATGGGCATGGGTACGGGCTGCCCATCTCGTCAGCAGGGGCTGAGGAGGTGTTTCAACCGCCCCCGCCGGCTGCATGGCTGGTAGCCACTGTTTCAAAAAGTGGTTACTAGTGACCAAGTGGTTACTGAGAAAATAATTCCCTTCCAGAAGGTGGTCTGTCATTAGGAAATGTTTCGAGTCACCTGCCAGTGTTATAACCAGGAGGTGATCGCCAGGAAATTGAGGGCCACATACCCCCGCAGTGACCACCTAAAGCATTTTCCCGGCCATATCTTTCCGTACACATATCCGTACAATATATAAGCGTCGTCTTGGCTATCCAAAGCCGTGAATGGGCGTCGTAAAGTTAGGATCTTCGGATGCATGGTTGTAGCGGGCTCCTGTTCAGCATACTCGCTGGGGAAACATTTTTGTAAGGTGGTTACCAAGACAAAAAACCGACAGTAACCACTTGGTCACTAAATAATTACCACGGTGAAAAAGTGGACACTGGCAACATGGATAGGGACTGCAGGCAGGTGCGTACCTGCGCCGGGCAAGAACCGACGAAGCTGCTAGCAGCTGCTAGCAGCGCTGCAGCTCCTGCTCACTCCCAACAACCCCAACCACATTGCACACCAGCTGGCCATGCAACGCACGCCGGGTTGCAGGGTGGACCCCGGAATAATATCTTTTTATTACTTAGTCGTTCTGCGCGCTGGAGAAGCCGCCATTCCCTGTGGCACAGTTTAATCCAGACTGGGTCAATCTCCACAAATGGTTTAATGGAATATTTATAGCTTGGAAAGTCCTGCCAGCTCTTCGGCAAGGTCCGAGCCCGCCCTCGCAGTTTGGCTAGCTGTCGGCTGTCTGTAAGTTTATCAGTCTGTAAAACGCTCGTGGCCATCATGATGTATGTGTCGCCGATTAATGCGTCCTCCCTCACTCCCCACCGGGACTTGACGCCCCCAACAAGTCTCCCAGATGCCTAGGACCAGCAGGCCTGCTGGTCTCCCAGACCTCCGAAAGACCGCGGCTTGTATGCCGCGATCCAGATCCGTCTGTAAAATCCTTTGCATATGTGCCACCCCATTCCACCTATGTATGCTATGTACGTGTCATTTCCATTTCAGGTGGAATTGCAACTGTGCGGAGCCGGTTGGACGACGACATCGATGATATCAGCGTCTTCTCAGGAATGGATCATCGTTGAGTCCTGCACCCCGGGACAGTTCCATTTGATTGCAAGACACAGCAAACTATGCCTCGATCGTTCCAATAATGCTACGGGTGAGTCGAACGAGCGACGACATGCACTTCAGCGGTGGTGCATGGTCCACCTGCTGGGAGCACGTAGCTGGGAGCGAGGAGGTGGTCGTCATTGCTCGGGACGGCGTAGTCAACGCCATATCATGCATTACGACGCGCAATCGTCTATAAACAATGCGCTCTAGGTCGCTCTGCTAATTATTAGAGGCCTTCCCAGCAGCCGGCTACTATAGATGGCCTGCCTACCCGGTTGCCTGATTGATTGTCCGATGCACAGCGTCGGTGACAGACGAGCATGCATGCATCGCAAGCATGGGTAATAATATATAGATTCATCTCGCCCTACACACGCACACACGCACACGGGGGTGCACACATATATACACATGCACATACATACGCGCAGACACACACGCACAGACACATATACGCACACGTACGCACACGCACACGCGCATAACACACGCGTACGCACACACACACACGTACACACACGCACACACACACGCACAGAGACACACACGCGCGCGCACACACACACGGCAACATCTTACGACAATGCAACGTGCCGGGGCCGCCGGCGGCTGGTGCATGCATGATGATGCCATGATGCAGAACTCGGGGCCATGATTCAGTGGACTTGCCACTGGCGCGACAACCAGCGCTTCACAATCTATGGATGGAGTCAGCCAGGTTATGCGTCCAGACCTCGGTATGCTGCAGTCCAAACCCCACCAACCCCACTGGTGGTCAACTGCACTAACAACAGTCCTGCAGCAGGTAAGGACGTGCATGCATGCATTTCCTGCACATGTGTGTGTATGTGTGTGTGTGTGTGTGTGTGTGTGTGTGTGTGTGTGTGTGTGGAATGTATAGAGCGAGCATCTATGTGCACTTTTCTTATCTTATTCTGATGACTGGATCCATCTGATTGCCAATCGATGGTTACTGAGCTGGCAGCTCAACGGATATCACATATTTAAACAGGAAGCTACCTGCATGATATACGTACATACATACATATACCTGATACTATATAGTATATTGTGTATGGTAGCTATGTATGTATGTATATGTTTTGGGATGCATGGGCCGTGCATATGCCGGCATATGCATAATGCATCATACGGCCAAACATCCTGCTGTGCTCGCTCTGTGATCGAATCTAAGCACAAGCCGGTACGTATGTACGTAGAGTAGTTCCTATATGCATGTATGTGTGTTTCTCTGGGGCGGGGTTGGCAAATAATTAGGAGGACGTTAGGTGGTGATACCAATAAGGTAGATTGTTCCATCTTCCGCGTCGCGAAGTACGACCGGACCAAGCAAGAAATCGATCGTATGACGATTCATTGTATAGGATGGTCTATAGACCGTGCCATCGTCTAATAGATAGGCCTGAAAATAAGTGATATATAGATGATCAAAAATTTTACAGGCGGTACATATACGTGGCTAATGAAATCAGCATATGGAATCCGCGGGTTGGCTGCAGTTGGGCAGTTGGGCCGAAGGGCATGGGCATTGGAGAAGAGTCCTCAGAGCGCGGCATAGTGGCGGAGGACGAGGAGGACAGGAATGATTGATTTTGGAAATCACTTGGTACTCGAGGTGCTTGTTGGCATGGCATGAACGTTAGGAGAAGGTATGTTGAAAATGTTTGGAGTGCGTGGCGGCATGTGCAGGAATGCCTATTGGTGTTGTATTTTGGGCATATCACGGCATCTGCATCCGCCGATTGGTACTTTCTGAAGTCGTGATATGACAGCAGGGACGGGCGGACGTGGTGGAAGTGCTTCTCGACTACTGTGCATACGGCAGCACTACATGCTATTTAGCAAATGGCATGGATCCATCTGCGGGTTGTAAAAAATGGACGATGAACTGTTCTGGCCTGCTAAAAGACGGACATCTAAAAGCTGTAGACAAGTCGGCCATTAGCTGGACTATACATCTATATCCGAGCTTTAATCCATTCGACTATAGTCGATGCAACGATCGCCTAAAAAACCGTCTATGGATCGGCTAAAGACAAACGGACTATATTGCAGGCAGGATAGTTGGACTACAGATTCTTTCCCAAACTTTACAGACGCGGGGCCCGCAGCCCTGCGCCGCGGAAACTAGTAGGAGGATTTTTAGGATATTTAATTGGTATGATATATTTTATTAAATAAATTATGTAATGTATATCCTACTAAACAGCGAAGATCTCTACGTTACGTATGCGTGCGTGGATGGATGGATGGATGGCCATCCATGGATAAATAGCTAGATCGACGGTTTTAGCCATCAATCTTTACAAAATTACGTTCGTGTATTACTAACCTGCTGCCCGCTGCTGGCCGCCTATTTATGTAGGTACCACAAGCACCGTACCACCACCATCGCCACCGCCACCACCACCGCCACCGCCTCCACCACCATTCCTAACCAACATCGCCATTGGAAAACAGATGTTCGCATCATCTCAGCTGTCCAGTGATTACGCCCCCGACAATGCTAACGACGGAGTCGTACCCCCCCAAGGCAGCAATGTTAGCACCTTCATCAGCGCAAACGGCACGGGAGAATGGATGGCTATTGACTTTGGTGAAGTTATGACCGTCTCCAGCATAACCCTCTACCTCCGGAGAGACTGCTGTGGTGCTGAGCTCGTGAACCCTGAGTTCAGGCTAGGCGGCTTTAATGTGTCGTACATTCCTTCGTACATCAATTACAACTTCTGGTTAGATAGCACACCAGCCGGCCCTGGCGAAACAGGCGGCACAATATCATTTTCTGTTAATCCACCCAGTAACGGCCGCTTTCTTACAGTTCAAAACAAAAACGCGGGATCCACGAAATCGATGAACTTGGCAGTGGCAGAACTACAAGTGTACGGCATGCCCGCAGGTGATAATTTCAATTGGCACACCATGTATTGATAGGTGCTGCTGTGCACGCTGCACTTTGCTTGTGAGGATTGACGCGCGCCCGCCGGGCGTCTGACTGCCTGTCTGCTACCTAGCTACCTTACCATGCATGTACTTACCATGCATGCATGGTCTATCAGATGGCAAGTCATCCTACATATTTTTTTATGCTTTTTACCTATTTTGTTCTATTTCACGCGCTTTCTCGTGCTTTCTTGTGCTCTCGTCGGCTTGCTGGCTCTTGCTTGTCACATGCTAGTCCTTGCCGTAATTAACGGAAGTAACGCACGTAGCACACAATGTGTGTGTGGTTGTTACACAATGGCTTTGCGTAACAACCAGATGATCTAGGTATCCGCGAAACCCGGCCACAATACTAATGTAGATTATTTGCCAAAGGTAATAGGGTTCAACCTGGCAAGACGCGTGCCGCCTGGTTGATTCGGCAGCTTAGCTCTCTAGCAGGCGCTGCAGCGGCGGCAGCAGTAGTACGCATGCAAATTCTTTGATCGTCAATAGATTTATTTAGGGAAGGGCCCTATCTATTACACCAGGGCGCGACGATACAAAATTTTACCGACGCTATAATATAAAGCAGTATTGACTGCGGCTCGATCCAAGTCGCTGCATAGCAGAGACAAGCAGGCAAGCAGACAAGCAGGCAAGCAGAGACGGAACCCCATGTCGTATAGACATATGTAACACACTGCTGGTGCTTACCCATGCACATATGGTATATACCCTCAGATAGTGGTGTGCTTGTCCCGCACGGTATTCGCATACTCTTCTTGTTCATCTAGCCACTGTTTAAATTAGTTTTCGCTGTTGATTTAATAACTAGGCCATGAATGCTTACCGGCCTGTATATACATTGACCCAGCTAGCTAGCGTATACGACGATCGTAACAGGATCAGTGCATGTCGCCGCTCTTCTTTAAAGAATCTGACACGCGCCCACGCACCCATCGTATCCCAATCACCGTCCCCATAGCCTGCACACTCCAGGTAATGCAGAATGCCGGGTACGGCAACGATTCCGCTGCCCTTTCTAACAGCAGCCAGCCCAATGAGGCGGCTTGTTGTCAGGCCTGCTACAGCAGCCCTACCTGCCTCTACTGGGACTATGTTCGCAGTAGTCAAATGTGCCGCCTTAAGGGCGCCCAGGAGTTGAATATCCTACCGGGACAGCCGATACGAGGATTTTACCGGGATTGGAACCGGGTGGCGGGTGCAAAAAGAGGTACATATGCGCGCGTGAGCCGGCGGCCGCTCGCGGCCTTGTTGCTTGACTACAGCGTGCGTCGGTAGATTTTACGTTTTTTTGCCGTCTATGGATGGACAGAGCCATCATACAACAGATAGATAGGACAAAGAAATAGACCACATAAAAATTTATGTAAAGAAGGATACATATGTACTAATATAGACCGTGACAATGGTGTAATAGCTTCAGATGTTCAGGCCTGAAAACATCTATAGACGCGGGCCTGCTGGGTATTTCGGCCGATATGATGATACACATGCTATACCATGTTAACATAACATTGGGGCAACGTTGGGGCTATTTCTGTGAATACATACAGTGAATCGCTCGTATAAGAGTAACAACAGCAGATTATAACTCATCACTCTGCACATCCTTGTATACACACCGTGCATAACGATGGCATCCATTTGCTCCGCCGATCATGTCATATGACAGCCTGTACTTGCATGCATGCTTGCAGGTGTAAGTACTTTCGCTTTACCCGGGATGAATCCAAGTGCCGTCAGTATTTGGTCTGGGGGCCAGCAGAGCTCTAGTGATGATCTCGCCAATCAATATTGGTTTAAATGGTTTTTTAAGTCCTATACCATCCCAAATGCAATCACAAACGCCACCTTTTACCTGATGACAGTTGGCGAGGGTCAACTGTTTGTAAATGGAGATGAACTTTTAATATACACACGCAGTAGCGGAGGTTGGAACAAGACATACACTTCTGTCAACCTGGTGGCAGGTGCGAACATCCTTGCCATTAAGGTCAGCAACAGCACGGGAAGAGCGTACACAACAGGAATGCTGGTAACGTCGAACAATAGCTTACTGTTGCGCACCGACGAGACATGGCTTTGGGTCGAGGCACCATCGGGGGGACCTGCACCGCCGCCCCCAAGGCCCAGACCGCCTGTTCCCCCCAGACCCCCCATCCCTCCTACCCCACCTACCCCTCCTACGGCGTCTTCGCTTTCAGCAGGTAGGCAAGGAGCCTCAATTATTGAGCTTGTTGGTCTAGCTGGCTTAAAACATAGTTATGCGTATAGCACATGCACTGAAGATTGTCTTGATTCAATATCTTCGCACATTATATTATATATAATACACAATTATTTCAATACCCGCGGCCACGGCATGCGCGTGTTATGTTGCATGGGCATACCGTCCGCCCGTTGCTTTGCGTGCATGCGCATATGCCGATATGCGCTACACGAAACCCTAAAACCAGGCTGCACACCCGACCACGTGGCACTAGTGCACTCCTAGAGAAGGAAAGCGATTAGCGTGCGATGCAGGCACATCATCAACGATGCGCATGTAAGATATCTTATGACCGCCGCTACGACGTCTGTATGGTCTATCTATCGTACCCAGAGCGAGGGTGATAAAGATGGATGTGTGTAATTAGTAATTCAAGTTATGTCCTATAGCCTTCATGGCTTGCTGCACGGTTGCGTTCGAGGTGCCGGATAGGACAGGACGAGGCGGAGCCGGGGCTGCCAATTGTAAGGGCCTCACACTACGTAGTATACTGCAGTATACTGCAGAATGTGTAAAGTGAGAGCAACAATAAGCTCCAATAGTGTAGGCAGAATGCCGGAACTATGGAGCTGTCAGCTGAAGTAAAAGACTCGAAATTTGACAAGCCGTACGGCTGCCGTACATAACTTAGCTTAGCGGCTATACTCGAAACTTCGCTCCTGCCGCATCTGAGCTACAAATTCAACTGGTCTCGCGAGTCAGCTGTCTCGACTTCCGCACCGCCCGCCGCTAGCGAAGGCTCGATCGTTAGTTCTGCCTGTACTACTGCGTGTGATAGCCTCGCTCGTGCAATCTTCTCGTCCGATTGAGTTGGCGTCAATAGTGCCTTGCTATCGACACTGTTCTCATCACAGTAGAACGCGTGACACAACTGATTGGCTGAGATCGTTTAATAGCGAATGTGCGAAGACAGACGCATGCGCATGTAATCATTATTAGTACGGTGCCGTACGTGCATGTACGTTGCTCTCTACGCCCGTGTATTGCTGCAGTACGTTTCGTCCTTAGTAGGTATCAGATTGGTGCTGAGGACGATTGTCCGCCGCGCCTATCTATCTATCTATCTATCTGTCCGCCGCGTCTATCTATCTATCTATCTAACTATCTATCTATCTATCTATCTATCTATCTATCTATCTATCTATCTATACGCCGTGAACTGCTGGTATAATAATGGATAGGGACGATCCCTGTCTGGTGTATATACCAGACCTGGTATATACCCGGGCATGATCTTCAGACGATAAACAATTTACAAACGAGACACTGATAGCTGGACTAGTACTGCAACACATCTCCCTTTAGGCCTGATACATGAGCATATGCAACTACGCAAACTGATAAGAGAATCCGCGACTTGCACCCTCCGTGGATGGACGTGCGTGAAGTAATGAGCTATGCATGTATATGGCATAGTAGTGCATGCTACTAGCATTTGCTAGCTATGCAAACATCGGCCATCTGCTAGTCTGTTAGTGCGCACATCTGTCGGTGCACGCACTTGATGGCTTGCAACAATAAAATGGACGTGTGTACATACAATGCATTGCGTGCGCACGAAGGTAGGGAGTTGCATACGGGGCTTTACTTCATTGATGATTTGCTTGGCTGCCGCTGCTGCTTCTCCATCCGGGACGGAGCTGATAGGTTTTCATAATTTATTTTATTATTTATTCATAATTTATAATTTATTTTATTCACACCCCGATACAGACAATTTTTAGCTCGCCCGTCACATATTTCAGTAATAACAGTAGTGGTGGAACATCGATGTTCTTCGCACCCCGTAACAGGCAGTACGCAATGTAACCAATATTTTGGATACACCTCCAAGCCTGATGAGGACCGTAACGGTTCCGATATTGGAAATTTTGGGCCCATCGCGCTGGCCACGTGCAACAGCAGGCTTGACTGCAAGGCCTTCAACACAAACGGCTGGGTAAAGACGAGTGCCGACCCCTTGACACCGGCCCCAGGGTCGTGTTTGTACGTGAAGGGTGAGTGCATGGATGTGTATGTATAAATAAAATGTGGAAGTAGTAATGGGTGCATCCTCACATACATCATCTACGTCCGTAGGCCGAGGGTGGTAATGTGATAAAAACGGATCTGCTAGCAGTGCGTGGCCCCCGGTGGGCCACCAGTGGTGTTCTCGACGTCTGCTGCAAGGCGATGGGAGGGCAAAGGCCAGCGGGAAAGCCACGTGCGCGCCGAGGGGTGGGGTAGGGTAGGGTAGGGAAGGCATGCATACATACATCGCTTTTGTGGTTTCGCCGGTCTATCCCGGGCCCCTGCAGCGGTGATCAGGCTTGTGCGTGGTCCCTTTTCTTTGTATGGCTACTTCTCCCCTGGACCAGCCCAGGAAGGGACAGGTAGAGGGGGTCAGTTGTTGTAAGGTGGCTGCAAGACGTCTTGTGGTGTCGAGCTCTCTTAGCCTTTCTCTCTTGGAGGTTTTCCTTATTGGCTTGTTAGTGTCAGGAGCCCTCCCCTGCCGGGACTGCCCTAACCGTATTTTTATTTTCTTTTTTTTCCCTTGGAATCCCGTTGTCGTTGGTGGTGTTTTGGGGGGTTGTTTCAAAGAGCCTTTGACTTTGCCCTAGCTGAGACTTGTGGACTCGCTCTAACGGGACCTGAGAGCCCTTCGTGGTGTTTTCACTTCAGCGCCATCCCCGGATGGATGGGCTGCAGAGTGGCTGCGTAGAGTGTTGGCAGTCTGAGTTGGGGTCGGGAGCACACAAGACTAACCGACTTGTGCTGTGTGCTTCCGACCCTTGCGCTGTGTTTCGGCTTCGGCCCCCGGCTCTCGCGGCCCACAGTGTAATCTAAGTCATACATACATACATACAACAGGGAAGGACAGCCGCTGATAGATCCCGATATATCGCACCCTGCTGCTGACATAATAGGAGGGAGGGTTCCTATCTAATAGTAGCATACCGGGGCGTGATCTATCTATGGACGACCAAAACTTCTACACACGAGACAAGCGAGTACTAGTACTCCCGCCGGGCAGTACTCAGGGTATCAGCCTGAGCTCCCTAGCTAGGAGATGGGAGGGAGCACAACCCCTTGCCGCTTGACGCGCGCTGTAGATCGTGCCCTGTTGGTATATGAAGTAAGGAGCGAGGGACCGTCACTAACCTTTTTTTATATATGCTAAGGCAAAGCCCTACCTCTTCCTGCGAGCACGCACCTTTCAGTGTGACCCCTTAGACAGGCGACCAGTGTAATACCAGGCAAAGAGTACTCAGTTGGGAGATGCCAGGGGAGCTGATCCCTCTTACAACCATTATGCAGCCATTATGACGTCACGCCTACTGGCTGATTCCAGCGTACGGATGGATGCCGTATAGATGCCGTTCCTTTGATACGATTCGCCCACCATCAAGACCTAGATGTGCGCGCATCACCCAACAACCATGATAACGGAGCCTTTTGCCCTTGTCCATCCCCTTGTCCATCCCCTAAATGTATGTAGACAGTGGCGTCAGGCTTGAATTCCTCACGCGCCTGGCCTTCAACAATGTCACAAACCTTCGATTGGATTGGACGATCCCAGTCCTGTCTCAGCTGCGGAAACTGGAGATTGTAAACACCACAGGCAAGTCAAAAAACCGTTTTTTGGCTAGGGACATGAATGTAACATTTGCATACATGTACATCTCTATGTATGCGTACAACCAGCTAAGCTATATATACTTATGTACGTCTGTGTCGTAGCTGGCCGCTGAAAAGGCCGCTTCGCGCGTATTCGTAGTTGCTATGTGTGCCGTACTGTGTACCAGGTAATACAGTCTGTGGAATTTTTTTTACGTCAAGGGATCGTGTGTCCTGATTTAGTATACCGTAGTCACAACGGGTTTTGGGTACGCTAATTTGGCCAGGCCCTGCCCGAATGTGCTGCATAGAAATTAGACCCGCCGTACTATGGTTAGTAACGCTAGTAAGTTTAGCCTCTGCCTTGCCCATTGATTTGTGTGTACCAATTTTGTGCGGCGGCCTATGTTGTACAATCGAAAAATAAGGAAAATGCCTGCAAGCAGCAGCCGCAAACGTTTTTTACGTGATAGTTATGCATAATCGACACCGTAGAAATGGGCGATAATTATAAGGAGATTTAGAGGCGCCTCGGCCCCTCAGGCAGCCCGTCAGACCATTCTGCTTTGATGCATGCCTAGGCTCCACTCCGGTGCACCTGCTGAACGGCGAGCTGGCATTGTCAATGTCAGAAAGGCCCCTGAGCTGCAGCTGGATGCACACACAGTATTAGTAGCAATGAGGAGCAGCAGCTTGAGCACGCCCCCGCAAATGCTACAGATCAACAATGCCCAAAACCCGTTGCGGCAAAGCCGTTCGGTAATAGAACGAAAAGGACAGTCCCTTTTTGATTTATCAGCAGGGCACGAACGATCTATGTATTATCGATAACATTCATCATATGACGCGATCTGTAGACATTCCATACCATGAATCGACCGGACGCATGTGCGTTTTGATTTATCGGTCCTATCTATTACACGATGGCCCTGGTGGACTGTAAGAGGGATCAGCTCCCCTGGCATCTCCCAACAGAGTACTCTTTCCCTGGTGTTACATAGACCATATGGTCTATAGTCCATATGGTCTATAAAATATATCATGCATGATATATTTTGCAAGCGTACGCAAGCACGCGCATCATCCCCCCACACACATGCATCCATCCATCCATCCACAGGTACGTTGGCTCCAGATCTCAACCTGGCCGACCTCTTCACGCTGACCAGGCTGGACACCTTGAAGATCACGGGATTTGGGCTTAACGGTCAGTAGTGTGATTGGTTGGTTAGCTAACCAACAAACCTATATAGAATAGAGACATCAGCAGCATTGACTTGGATGCACCGCCGCCCTGGTTTGCATCACGTACTCGCTCGAACTTTGGGCATCGAGCCAACATATATATCCTGCTGCTAGTGCCGCGGTGCCTGGAACCCTAGCTACTAGAAAGGCAAGGCGCATGGATGCTAGAAGAGGGACGTGAAGGTATGATGGCTGTATATGTATATGGGGAAGCCGGCGGCAAAAAGGGGCTGGACCCTCCGAAGGTTCCCTACCCCTATGAAGTGGGAAACTCACGCATGTTGCACGAAGACCCTCGCTCTGACGGCGATGCATGCGCACAATACTCATACAATCACTATGTGAGTACTGCTCCCGAAGTAGCTAGCTATAGTAGTACAATACGTGCCGTGATAGTAGTAGTGATGCATTGCAATGACGATGACGTACAATTGTACGGGTCATCGTATACTAGATATGACCAAGAACTAGATCGTGTATGCATTCATTGTATAGGATGGTCTACAGACCGTGCATGGCATAATAGATAGGCCTGAAAGTGAATGGTCTATAGGCTATCCAAAATTGTACCGACCTTATTTCATTTACATGCAGAACATGGTGCGTTTACAGTATACGTATCCACCTAATTATCTAATAAACCCAGTCAGATTGCCTCGTGAATACATGTATGTCTCGCTTTTCTGCCCGCCCAGGTTCTATCCCCCCACAATTATCTGCATTTACTGGTCTCTCTCACCTACAACTATCAAACAACAATTTGCAAGGCTCGCTGCCCAAGGAAGTGACCTCACTGTATCTCCTGTCTAAGCTGTAAGCTTACCGCATAAGCCTTATACATCTGCGTTGTGTATGCACTTAGTGAGGCTAAATCCAATCACGTATTGATGGATATTATGCTGGCGCCCAGCAACATGCATGTGTTGCTACTCACGTTGCCCCAATCAAGATAAACTACATGCAGTAGCTTACGATTCTTGTGTTATAATTGTTATTGTGGGTAGCCTGTATTATTGTAGTAATTGGCTGCTGAAGAGGCCTCGCTCTAAAGATAATCCTAGGCCTTTCAAAATATATAGAGCGCTTTAGCACAATCTGTTGATGTGTATGTGCCGTACTGTACGACAGCCACCACACCTCTCCAATCCACGCATCATGTGCTTCCGTAACCTAACTTGCTGGCGGCCTGCTTGCTTCGCTCGTGTGGTGTACGTAGAGAGCTAAATGGAAATCAAGATTTATGTGGTGAAATACCACTTCCACTGTATAATAAAACTTTACTTATGGACTTCAGTAACACAAGACTCGGTGAGTGAAATATGAGTTTATAAGATATGTGTACAGCTATCAGGTGCCCAGTGCGCGTATAACATATTTTTGCCCTCACATGTTATTGTTGTTATTACAGCGGGCCACCAAGTTAGCACTACCAATATAGACCACCAATGTGTAATCATCATGCTCACTACCATTCCCATGAAATGCCTTCACAACAGGCCAAGACTGCAACATGGCCAATACTGCATGCGGTCCAAGCAGTAGCACTTCCTGCACAATCGGAAATGCAACTTCAGGACCACCTCCTCTACCCCCACCCCCACCACCATCCCCTCCACCACCCCTACTACCATCCTCACCACCATCCCCTCAACCTCCTCTACCACCATCCCCTCAACCTCCTCTACCACCATCCCCTCAACCTCCTCTACCACCATCCCCTCAACCTCCTCTACCACCATCCCCTCAACCTCCTCTACCACCATCCCCTCAACCTCCTCTACCACCATCCCCTCAACCTCCTCTACCACCATCCCCTCAACCTCCTCTACCACCATCCCCTCAACCTCCTCTACCACCATCCCCTCAACCTCCTCTACCACCATCCCCTCAACCTCCTCTACCACCATCCCCTCAACCTCCTCTACCACCATCCCCTCAACCTCCTCTACCACCATCCCCTCAACCTCCTCTACCACCATCCCCACCACCATCCCCACCACCATCCCCACCACCATCCCCTCAACCTCCCCTACCACCATACCCACCACCATCCCCTCAACCTCCTCTACCACCATCCCCTCCACCACCCCCACCACCATCCCCTCCACCACCCCTACCACCATACCCACCACCATCCCCTCAACCTCCTCTACCACCATCCCCTCAACCTCCTCTACCACCATCCCCACCACCATCCCCACCACCATCCCCTCAACCTCCCCTACCACCATACCCACCACCATCCCCTCAACCTCCTCTACCACCATCCCCACCATCCCCACCCCCACCACCATCCCCTCCACCACCCCTACCACCATCCCCACCACCATCCCCTCCACCATCCCCACTACCATCCTCACCACCATCCCCTCA